TGAGGCATGTGGGATCTTGGTTCCCTAACCTGGGATCAAACCCAGGCCCCCTGCACTGGGAGCGCACAGTCCTAACCACTGGACCACCAGGAAAGTCCCCTGTCTACCTTTCCTTTTCTTGCTCCTCCCAAAGGTCCCCCCATCATTGTGCTCACAGAAAGCATCACAATAAGCTTTGGTTGCCATTTAGTATCCATAAGTACACTTCAGTTTCTGTTGCCTTCTAATGATGTGCCTTTGATTATGTGATTCGATTTCTGTGAATGTCAGTATCTTTCTCTGTACACTGGACATGGTACCGTTTTTCTTGCCACCCATCTTGCCATAAGAAGTAAATGTAGCACCTGGCTCCATCCAGTGACAACTTTCACCATGTTTTGCTACACGTATCACGTTTGTTACTGGAGTCAGGCGGCTTTCTCGGCGCTCTTTGCTGCAGAGAGTGCCCAGGCGGTCTCCCCCACATGGTTCACCCAGCATAAACTGCGCTCCTTCTGTTTGGTCACTGCCATTGGGACGGGGCTGCCTCACGTCGTCGTCTTTTTCCCTTGCCTCTATTGCTCATGATGTTTTTAATTGACACCAACATCTGCCGCTTCAGCAGGCTCTTCTCCAAAATTTGATCCTTAATTTAACAGAAAGTTATTTGTGAGAATTTTCGTAAATTTGTCTCCCCCCAGTTTTACATTATTAAGAGAACAGTTTTTTAAATTCCAATGAGGAAACACTTGATGTAGGAGACTTTTCAAAGTCCACATTTCTATCTCCTGAGTAGTAGAGAGCAGCTAATTCTGTGGCAAAGCTTAGCCTCTAATTTGCTGCTTCCACAGGCTAGGCGCCTTCACTTTGCCTCTGATTTGAAGGGGTGGATTTGAGTGGAGGACTCCTAAACTGGTTAGAAGAGGCTTCAGCTCTCAGTTTTCTGTCTTCATCATGTTCTTATTATTTGAAAAAATTACTAACCTTACCCTAGTAGATATGTGTTATTCATAAAATATCAATTATTCTAACATATATTACAAAAACATGAAAGTATAAATTAAAGGATGAGCTTTTCAAAAAAGAAAGCTTCAATTATTTTCTTCCTGAGCTCCAGGGAATCGTCTCAGTTGCATCCTTTTTGGAACAGCCCCTGGGCCTGTCTAAACGTTTGGGTCCAGCTCAAGTGTGCTTTTGCTCATTTGCTTGAACTCACCATTTATTTCTACAGCTGGATTGTAAACTACCTGTGGTTAGGGACAGTGCCTTACTCTGTAATCCCACAACAATCCCTGGCACAGTTTTGGGTACTTCTTATGTATTCAGTATTTACTTGTTCATTGATTTCTTGGGATCATTTTATTTAGAGCATTATTTCACTGTTGATAAAAGGAAAACCATCTTCAGCCTCTTCCGTAATAGTTCTGGTGTTAGTCACCACAGTGTTCATATCCTAAGGTTAAAGATCATCATGCCTGTCTGTGTGTACAGATTTTCAGAAGTAGATGTGCTGTCTGATGAAGTAACTCGATTGTAACCTCATGGCAATGGTGCAGGCTTGGAAACACACCTGTGTGAGCCCCCACATCTGTTTTTGTTCTTGAGATTTCTCTTTTCGTTTCTTATCACATGGCTGAGTGCTCAACTGTAGCATTTTCTTTTTTTTTTTAATACTTTCTCTAGAGTTAATTTGTGCTGGTATTATGGGTTTACTACTTTGTATTTTGTATTTTTCAGGTTTCTGTTCTGTTCTTCTGAACAGCTACTCTGTCCTTTAATTCTATAGGCTTTTTAAATTTTATGAGAGTAATTATTTGTAATTACACTTAAAATTCTTTATAACTGTTCAATGAATCTCAGTGGCTTAACATCATAATCTTTTTATCGTAGCATTCCTTTTTTTTTTCATTTGTTTTTATTAGTTGGAGATTAATTACTTTACAATATTATAGTGGTTTTTGCCATATATTGACATGAACCAGCCATGGATTTACATGTGTTCCCCATCCCGATCCCCCTTCCCACCTCCTTCCCCATCCCATCCCTCTGGGTCTTCCCAGTGCACCAGCCCCGAGCACTTGTCTCATGCATCCAACCTGGGCTGGTGATCTGTTTCACCCTTGATAGTATACTTGTTTCAATGCTGTTCTCTCAGAACATCCCACCCTTGCCTTCTCCCACAGAGTCTAAAAGTCTGTTCTGTACATCTGTATCTCTTTTTCTGTTTTGCATATAGGGTTATCGTTACCATCTTTTAAAATTCCATATATATGCGTTAGTATACTGTATTGGTATTTATCTTTCTGGCTTACTTCACTCTGTATAATGGGCTCCAGTTTCATCCATCTCATTAGAACTGATTCAAATGAATTCTTTTTAATGGCTGAGTAATATTCCATAGTGTATATGTACCATAGCTTCCTTATCCATTCATCTGCTGATGTGCGTCTAGGTTGCTTCCATGTCCTGGCTATTATAAACAGTGCTGCGATGAACATTGGGGTGCACGTGTCTCTTTCTGATCTGGTTTCCTCGGTGTGTATGCCCAGGAGTGGGATTGCTGGGTCATATGGCACTTCTGTTTCCAGTTTTTTAAGGAATCTCCACACTGTTCTCCATAGTGGCTGTACTAGTTTGCATTCCCACCAACAGTGTAGGGTGTCTCCACACCCTCTCCAGCATTTATTGCTTGTAGACTTTTGAATAGAAAAATATGGAACGCTTCACGAATTTGCATGTCATACTTGCACAGGGGCCACGCTAATCTTCTCTGTATCGTTCCAATTTTAATATATGTGCTGCCAAAATGAGCACTCTCATAGCATTCCTATATTGTCATCTTCTCTGAATAGAAAAACTAAATCTATAAAGAAAAAAAAATTGTTGTCAATTGCAAATCAAGACAGAGAGATAAAAACCAAACACTGGTCTCAGATTTGCAGTTCACTTACGTCTCTGTGGACTGTGTCATTTCTTCATAAAAGGTGCAGTACTGTGTACTTACTAATATGATTCACTAAATTAGATCACTGCAGTTAATGACAGCTTAAAGGTTTTGAAATTTTTATTATTTCATTTTCCTGATAGGCTTGTTAGTCATTTTTTTCTTCATTACAAACACCCTCAAAACTTCACGGGCTTTCTGCTTCTCGTGTCTCTCCTTGTCCTTGCAGCTCTCTGTATGCGCTCTTCGCGTGGGGAGTGGCAAGAGCCTAAGAGGACAAGCCCACCCGAGCACATTTAAAGCCTCTGCTCGCATTATGCCTGCTCACATCTCACTGGCCAGAGCAAGCCAGCAGCCTGGTCTGACATCAGTGGAGCAGGGTGTATGCTCAGTCCACAGCAGGAGCCTGTGCAGTTACAAGGATAAGGGGCAAAGGGTATCAAATCCTATTAAAGAGTGGAAAACTGGGGGAAATAATCTAGTCTACCACTGTAGGGAAGCAGGATGTTAAGAGAGTCATTAATTTGCTAATGTAAGTCTTGTGAACTATAAACATGGCAACACTTTTTTCCCATGAGTAACTTAAATCTTATTTGACTACTTTGAAAATTCTCCAGTGCTCTGAATTTCTTTCAAGAATGCCTCTTTAAACCAAAGTTATTGTTTAATGGAAATGAACACAAGTAGAGATGCTAGTGAGGTTAATTGCCATATGTGCTTTGAGAAAGAGGTAGAATTGCTGATTGACTTGGAAAAGTGGAAAGTATAGATGAAGAGGGCATAGATAGAAAACTGCCTAAACAAAAGAAAGCTTTCTTTCAAATAAACTGTTAAGCATTATAAATTAAGTACTTGGAATTGAAATGAAGGGAACAGAATTAAGCTAGATTAACTCACAGCATGGAGGCAGATTTCTGAGACTCAGAAAGACACTTCAGAAAGGCATTAAAATGTCTATTCTTACTTAGACAAGAAGGAAGAAAGTTCAGAGGTGGTGTGTTATAATCTCACAATTGCCTAGCAATCTAAGTCAATTCTAATGTAATATTTTATATATACATACAGAAATGAGTTTGTATGTTAGAATTAATGCCTGTTAAATACTATAGTGGAATGAATAGTTCCTTAGAAACCTTTTTCTTCCTGAAGTGATGCTAGGTGTGTCTGTTTAGTTTGCTAATATTTTCTCTTTTCTGAACTGCCTTATTTCTTTCCTTGAATAGGGAGAATCTTTTTATTTTGAAAAATGGCATCATTTGCAACCTTTGTCAGGAATATTTCATAGAGGGGAGACAGAATTGACTTCGCTTGAGCTGGTTAGAAAGCTACGGAAACTCAAAGTAAATGGTACTTTACTGTTGTGTGCAGCATGACAGTTGTGTCTCCTTTACTGGCATGAACAAGGAAATTAAAGAAGTGTACAGCAAAGCTGTGCAGTTTTAAGAATAACCTCATCTACTTTTTTGTCACAGAAATGAAGTTCATTTATTCTCTGTTGTATGTACCTGGCTTTATGAGCAAATGTATTCACGGGAATATATAAATAGTTTTTTCAATATTATATTTTTAATCACGGACCTGCAAGGTTGCGGACTCTACGGTTAAAAATACAGCGCAGGGAGACGCTGTGTGCCCACCGCCTTGTTTCCCCTGGTGGTGACATGAGACTAATTTGTGCATCGTTGACAGACCCTTTTTGCCCTCTATTTAGTAAGCCTGCTTTTTTCAGATATCTAACTTTCTTTAAAGCAAGAACACCTGTATTGTGCCTGATCCTCTTTAGCTTTCAGAATTAGGAAGTATCGTGAAAGGGTCCTTCTGTCAGTGTTGCTTTCTCTCTTTAGCACGTTCCTCTCCATTTCCCCAATTCCCAGACTGTACCACAGATTGCAAAGGGACCTGTCTCATCTCCTCTTCTGGAATATTCTCCTCAGCAATCTAAAAATCTGCTCCTCCTATTGATGAAATACAATCAGTTGCATATTCAGATTTCTTGTTTTGAGTTTATTGGTGGTGGTTAAAAACTTGAGAGGGTTTTTTTTTTTTTAACATCATCTCTTCTTTTTTTTTCTTTTAGCCTGAAAATGAAATTTCTTCAGACTGCAATCATGTAAGTATGGATTTTCCATAATTCGCCATATGTGTTTTATGTATATGATGGCAGATATTAGGGTGCTTTTCCTTTGTTCTGGGAAGCATAATGTTTTCTTAAATGCACTTAATCTTAACAAGAGAATGATTAACCTTATCTAAGGGCCATGATAAATCTACAAATAGTCCTCCATTGTAGAAACCAGCAGGCTTGGCCAAATAATATTTGTAAACTTAACTTTTTCTTCAGTTACAGCTACCATATGAAATTGTTTCTTTGCATGTCAAGTTCACGATTTTAGAGTTTTGTCTTTTAAAGTTATTTCATTTAGTCATCATGCAGTCATCCTCTGTGTGCCAGACACTGATAGAAACTGGACACAATTAAACACGTCGAAGATGGAGACATTCGAGTTGGCAGATAAGAACTCCAGAGATAACTGCGATTAATGCATTTAGTGTCATATCTGTATCTCCATATTGTCTAAAATCTAATATTAAAAGGAACTGAATGCTTCGGTAGAAGCCTGTAACAGTACAGTGGGGACACAAAAGTGAATTTTGCCCTGGTGGGTTGATGTCCAGAAACATTTAATAGTGGAGATGATACTTGAGTTGTGTCTTCAAAGAGGAGTAGTTATATATCTCACAGTACTGGAAGAAATCACTCCGCCTCTGCATTATTTGGTATTTTGAATGGGAGACTGCAAGAACAGAGAAGCAGATTGGCTGCTTAAATTGATGACTTATTCTAGGTAAGGTCTAGATAAGACAGAGATTTAAAGTAAAACACCACAAAAACAGTAGAAGAAAACATGAACGGGGGTAGGGTTTTTAAAATATAACACAACCTCAAAAACTATTTAAAAAAAAAAAAGGTTTGTAAATCTGATTGCATTACTGCTGTGACATCTTGTGATTCAATTAACCAAATATTGTACTTAGTCACATTACCTGCCATTGACCATTGGCACCACTGGACAGTCTATCTTTTTCCTCCTGCTTTAACCTCCATTTCCTAACTCAGTATGTGTTCAAACATTTGCTTCTGTTTCCTGTAATAGTCTGCGAAGCCCTTCAGATTAGACTGTGTGTGATACATCTTCAGAACTGCTAAGCAGATGTTTGAATGAATCAGTGAATGAGTGATTGTATTCTTTAGTCATGGAGTGAAGCAGTCTGAGAAAAAGTCTTCTCCGTGTCCTACATCATAGAAAGCTCCTGCTCTGTTTCTCCATCTGAGCAGAGTTTAAGAGCTCATTTTTGCTGCTTTTCAGAAATTGGATCATGTATTGAAATTTTTAAACTGAAGCTGCAAAGATAAAGTAATACTGAGCCCTCACCTGTGAATAGTAATGGCTTTAGAGATTTCATAGTTTGAACCGTTGAAACAGTTGTGTAAAACAGACCTTATCATGTACTTGTCAAGTTGAGGGTTTTAGAGGAATAAAGAAAGATACACTTGGAAATTAGACTCTAGACTACATGCCTTCATAAAAAGCATGTGAAAAGCACTGTTGATTGTGAAATCTGCAACTTAGCCTTCCACTTCTGAGTTTCTGCGTTAGACTTTTTGATTTAAGAAGAATTTTGCATGTATACCTATTTATATTTTCTTGGAAAAACTCTTATCAGGGATTTTCATTTAATTTTTTTTGACTTAAAAAAATTTGTCCTTAAGTAAAAATAGAAAAAAGTGTATGTTTGAATGGTAGTGCTTTATTTTGTTTCCACATTTTTCTCTTTTATCTATAAATACAGTGACATTTTAGTCTTACTTTTTGTTCATTAACTGAAGTGTAAATATGCTTTATCTGACTGTATAATGGAACTATCATTTATAGTAACCACTGATGTTAAATTTCATGCTATTTTAAGTTTTTGTTTGTTTGTTTTTTGTGTTCTTTTCTCTTGTACCTAGTTGTTATGGAATTATAAGCTGAACCTAACTACAGATCCAAAATTTGAATCTGTGGCCAGAGAAGTTTGCAAATCTACAATATCAGAGGTAGGTAGTGCAAGAAAGAATTTTGTGGATCTTTAATGACCTGAAAGAGAAAATTACATCTGTTGACCAGACCAGTCATTGAGGGAGAAACGAGTGATTCCGTTACTCTACTTTTCTTGGAATTCACATATGTCTTGGTTCAGAGATAGACTGGGGTGGGGGAGTGTATAATTAGACTTCTTTTTCTTAATCTGCACTCGCAGTAGGATGCTGTTGATTCGGGCAGGTTGGAAATCAGGCTCTTTGTCCCCAGATGGAGAGTACAGTCACTCCTGTCATCAGTGAGTGCTCTCACATGTGTACAGTCTGCTTATGACTGGGGCATGTCAAGGTGGTTTACCCGGGAGGCTCATAGCAGTCCTGAGTGTTTTGGCTGTGCCCTTGGGCCAGTTGAACCACAGAGGCATATGCTCCAAATAATAGGAGTTAGCATTAGAAAGGTTTAGTGAAAAGGTTATATATATTGTCATAAATGGATATTGCATATAAAGACAAAAATAATTACTGAAAATATGTATAGTATTGCATGTATGCTAATTGGTGATATTTTTCTATTATTTCTCTTGGCTCAGTATAAATATCAAATGACATTAGTGAAAATTGTGGTATTGAACATTGTAATTTATTTTCTTTTATAGAATTAGTGGTAGAAATTTCATGAAGTTGGGGATTTCTACATGCTGAAAGAATCACAAAGGAAATAATTGCTGCTTTTCTATCTCAAAGTTAATAATCAGAGGTCTTGCATCATATAGATTTGTCCCCAAACTACCCTATTTAAAAAAAAAAAAAAAATGTTTATTTATTTGACTGCTCTGGGTCTTAGTTGTGGGATCTTTAGATGTGACATGTGGGATGTAGTTCCCTGGTCAGGGATTGAACCTGGACTCCCTGCATTGGGAGCTCAGAGTCTTAGCCGCTGGACCCCCAGGGAAGTCCCCTCACTACCCTGTTGATGACTTAAGTTAGGACCATCTTCTCCTGAGCTCTTAAGGAGCACCCTACTCCAACCAGGTGAGTCCTCAGCTCATGTACCTCACTTGGCACTGTATGGGATCTTGGAGAACCTGGTTTCTTCCTCAAACCTTCTACTGCTGCATCAGATGTGCTTTATTCTTTTAAAGCAGTGACCCTTCTTCAAATACGTTGGGGCTTCAGAATAGAATAGCTTATTTTAAAACTTTGATATTCAGCTTTTAGATTCAGTATTACGTACCTCAAACTCCCTTGGCTCACTATGTGGCTAACTATACATACCAGTTTGAGTGCCACGTGGAAATTTAGCTCAGAGAATATGCAGATTCTTCAGAATAATTTCACCCTTTGTTGGTTTTATCTATCTGTATTTATAAATAAAACTGTTGGGACTTCCCTGATGGTCCAGTGGTTAAGACTGTGCTTCCACTGTAGGGGGCATAAATTCAGTCCCTGGTCAGGGAACTAAGATCCCACATGCTGCCTGGGCATAGCCAAATAAGTAAGTAAATAAAACTGGCTTCCTTGTAATGTGTGTGCTTACATTATGGCCCTCTTATAATCTTTGGAGGATGTTGTGGTTTTATAACAGATTCATGTAACAGGGGTACTTCACCCTCTATAGAGGGAGATCATACTGGAGTCAGAAAAATTAATTATCAGGAAAAATTAAACATTTTATTATACATTTCCCTCTTTTTTAATTTTGGAGTTATTCTTGCAAGGAGGAAAACAACATCATAAAAATACTGAAGACTGCAAACCAGACTTTTTATTTACTCTCCATGATTGAGTCAAATATTGCCTGCTTTTCTCTTGGATTATGTCAAAAGTAGAGTGACTAGCATTTTTCTAATGGTTCCTTAAGAATCTGTTCCTTAGCCACGTCAGAGTTTACTTCCATTCATAAATATGTTGATGATTTAATGCTGTTTTACATTATTATTCTTATAAGTTTTTTGTTGTTGTTTTTAAACTTCTCTCCAATACAGTGGTTCGAAAAAAGCATAAAATTTTAATTCAGGTACTACATCTGGTTGTAATTGGTGGTGGACCAAAATACAAATAGGTACAACATCTCTGTGTTTCAGTAAAATCTCAGGTGATTGAAGCTAAATATACATTTAATTTCTTATTAAGGCTTCAATTCAAAATGTCTAGCAGTCTTCAGATTTTTAAACCATTGGTTGCCTAATAGACCCTGTCTGAATATTTGCTCTTCATTGTTTTAAAAACCCAGGTGTCTTCCACGAGTCCTGTTTTTTTTTTTTTCATGCAGGGCTTTTTTCATTAGTTGAATTATAAACACTGAGATTTTTAAGCAGTTATTTCTCCTTTTACTTTTGAAACTTACCTCTGTTTTACTTTTTTAAAAAATCACAAACAAAAAACCCTTTTCTTGGAAGTACATTTATGGCCCTTTTCTTAGGCATCATCAAAAAAAAAAGAGCCCAAGGTCAAACAGAAAGAATTGCATTCAGCTTGTTGACTGTTGAAGATCTCTGCTGCCTCTAGAAGCCAGTGTGAGGCTGTTTAATTTCCCAAGTTTGCTTCGAAAATAAACACGATTTTCTCTCTTGAACTGAGTCTTTGACTTGCTCTGAATTTAATACTGGGGTTAGACATGAAGAGACCCAGTGGCTTATAGGACTGTTAGTGTGTGGTGTGTCCTTTACCCTGTGCCTTCTGGAAAAGGAGGTTGTATTTGTCTTATCAAGTGTACATATTTACCAGAGGTGGTATAAGAATGGAGAATGGTCTCTATTGGTTAGAAAAAAACCAACAAAACATTCCCTTCTCATTCATATTAAAAATAAACATTTACATTTGGCTCCTTCCTCTTGTCAAAACTGCCGTTTTTGTTTGTTTTTAATTTCTCCAAATGTAGTAGGCGTTTTCCAAACAACCCTCTGTGCTTTATAATTCAACCTTAAAACCCTGTAAGTAGATTTCACTTTTTATGATTGAACTTCAACACTTTTAGGCTAATTTCCTTCCTTAGCACTTGAGGTTTTGGATGCACTTTGCAGAGACACTACCCATGTGGGGCCACTTTGTGCTTGATCCACTAGATCATATGTCTGAACGGCCCAAATTAGAATTGCAGTGGCCTTCCCCTTCCTAGACTTCTTGCCAGACTGCACTGAACATCATTTTTAAACATGTTTCTGTTTCACACCACAGTGGTGACGCGGGGAGTCTACTCAGTTAAAAAACATGCCCACTTCTTTTCTACTTTAGTTCTGCTCATCTCCATTAGTTAGGCCTTCAGTGTTATTTACAAATTGCTGTTGATGACAACTGAAGAGACACATTAAGTTGAAATTTATTTGCCAGACATTAAAAATGGAAAGTAAATAATCTGCCTCTTTACAGAGTTAAATCCCCCACATGTTTTCCTTTTCTCTTACCTATTTTCTAAGTAAACTAGCACTACGGAGAAAAAAAAAAAAAGCCCAAACCCATAGTTAATTCAGAACACATTAATGTCATGTTGAGAGGTAAAATAGTACAATGCCCCCCTTTAGTAATTAGGTTTATTCAACAATAATAGTTTGCTGTGTAGGTTGGCTTGAGATATGCAACTGGACTTTAGTTCTTCACCTGTTTCTCAGACCTATGCCTTAGATTAATCTTAACACATTCTTTGCATGGGTAATGGTAATTCTCAGTAGAATCATTTTAAAAAGAGCTGTCAAAAACTCTTTTCAATAAAATACATTTTAAGAAATTTTCTCAATAAACTGAAATTTTTTTAAAAAAGCTGTTTTACTTCATTTAAACCTGGATTTTACCTAAGCATTTGTTTCTGTATTTTCTTGCAAAACATATTAATCAGGTATTTCCTAGAAAGTGCAGAAGTCTTAATAACATAGCACACTATTTTCTTTACAACTAAAGCATTTCTCAGTGTTTTCTTTCTTTGAAGAAGAAACAAGCAGATACCACTCTCTTTTGTAAAGGTTGTTTGATAAGAGAATAGAATGCTTTCGTAACACAGCCACTTTGCTTTGAGCAGATCAAAGAGTGTGCCGATGAGCCGGTTGGAAAAGGGTACTTGGTCTCCTGCTTGGTGGATCACCGAGGCAACATCACCGAGTACCAGTGCCACCAGTACATCACCAAGATGACAGCCATCATCTTCAGTGACTACCGGCTCATCTGCGGCTTCATGGACGACTGTAAAAACGACATCAACGTGCTCAAGTGTGGCAGCATTCGGCTTGGAGAAAAGGTATCCTACGCCACCGGCTTCACCAGAGGGGTCTTACAGATTTGATGAGTGAGCAGCTTTGTATAACTGGCATGGAGAAGATTTGGAGCTGGCATTGGACGCAAAGTTGAGGTCCAGACAGCCCTGGTACCTAAGGCTAGTTTGCCTGTGGATGCACTTTATCTGTTTGTGACCAAATGTTTCAGTACTGTGTGGGGAAGTAGAGGAATTAATATCTGCTAAGATTAGTGTTATCTTCAAAATGCAAAACCAGCTAGTACTTCTTACCTATAACGTTCCTCTGGAAAAGCTTTCTGTAGTCTTGAGGGAAAAGTAGTTGCATTAGGAGAGACTCAAGTTCTCTAACCTTTCTTAGCATATACCTCACTGTTGTCTAAAAAAATTACTTAATAAACTCACCAGTACAAAAGTTAGCATATTTAAATATTAGAAAATTTTAAAATATGTGAAGGGTACTTCTGGTTTATCAAAAGAAAGGTACTCTGTAAATAGGATATGTGTTATCTTTGTGTCAGAACTAGTTTTAGTAAAGACAGGAAAGAAAAGAACTCCCTAGCTTCTTTCTCCTTAATTATATCTGATCTTTCTTTTGTTCTCATTGGTCTGTTGTCCAGAAGGTCACAGTGGAGGCTTGTGCCTAATCCGTTTGCTCAGCAGAAGTGAAAGCTCCTGAGAAGTAGTAGGTGTCGGTGGGAGAGGCAGCTGAGACCTGTAAATGGCATCAGCTGTTAATTGCCACTGCTCATTAATCTGCTGTTTAGGGGATGTGAGAGCAAAGCCCCTCTGTTCAGAGCCCTGCTTGCAGGCCTCCGACCTCGGCCGGGACGTGGTGGTAGGATTCGGAGCTGCGCACACCAGTTCAGATGAGGTTTCGAGGGCTGGCCATTGTCTGGCTGTCACCAAGTCACCTTTGCTCCACACCAGCGCCTGGCTCTGGCCCGTTCCCAGGGCCCCTGAGTTGGTCTTGAGAGCTCTGTGCACTGGCATACAGCTTCCAGGCAGCTCCTGAGAGGCCAGTTTCCATAAAGAAGACTGATTCTTGGCTTTCCCAACACATTTCAGAAACGGCACAAAAGCACTTAAGTCACCCTGATAATTCAGAAGCTCCTGTGACTTTATTTATAGTGCTGAGGATTAATATCCAATTCCATGTCACTCTTAAAAATCGTCACATAGTGTTCCAGACACACTTTTCAGGAATCAGTGATGACACTTTGTCATATTTGTGGTCAGTGGTCCATGCTGTAGAACAGACTATTACAATCCACCTCTCCCTGTAGTAGTTCTTCCCCATTGCCCACCAAGATAGTTGCTCATTGGCTTCCCAATAGCAATCTGGATTGTCCAGATTAAACCTGATTTTGGCTGCATGTATAAGTTACTAAATTGGTATTGACTTGAGAACAGTGGCAGAAAATACTAGTGCCAGAGCCCAAAGATGTGACAGTGAGTTTTGATTTTTCGGCTTTGTTAAAATAACAAAAAATGTTATATGGGGCATCCAAAAGCACATTTTTGTAATTTTCATCTTTTGTTGTACCTGCTAGTTAGATAAATTTCTCTTTATACCAGGCCCTCACCTTAGCACCCTAGATGGACTTCTGAAAAAGCATGTTCTTTCCTGCATATGTGTGTGTGTGTGTGTGTGTGTGTACGCACTCATGCACGCTCAGTTATGTCTGACACCCTGCGACCCTGTATGTAGCTCTCCAGGCCCCTCATGCTAATGCTGCAGCCAAGTTTAAAAATGATAGTCTGTCTTCAGCCCTCCCTTGCCTTTTCTAAATATAGTTGACTTCTCTGAAGTCAAGTTATTTAGATAAGAAAATTATTCTGAAAATTAATAAATCAGGTTCTGACCACAGAATAGAACATGCTCATCAGTTTTAAATTTGTTGCCCTGAAGCTTGCAGTCTCCTCCGTGACTGGCTTTCAACTGACCTCCAGAAGTCAGAGAAGAGGGGTCATGGTTAATCTGTTAGTACACTGTCTTTTGTATGAACATTTAAATGTCATGATTTCAAAACTGTATTTTTTCCAGAGTATTATTATATGTAAAATTTAAAAATAAAGGCTATATAATAAAACTTGAAATTTTCTAAATAAATATTTTTTAAATAATTATTTTTAAAAAGAAAAAGCAGATCTTTGAAAGTAAATGTAAATAACTCATATCATCTGAAGAGAAAGCAGAATGTGACATCCAATACGGGAACTTAATTGTGGACATGTGCCTCCTTATTATTACTTTTATACTTTTCACTCAGTAGTTGTATCATTCTATCATTCTCTCCTTTTAAAACCAACTACTGTGAATAGTTCAGATATTCTTTTTGTCTCTATCTAGGCAGGTAGGTCACAAAAAAATCACAGATGTTGAAATGGAGGATAATTAATAGCAGAAATGAAAACTGAGTTCTTGCCCCTTTTTCTGATTTGTGTTGTCATTTTCTGGTCTTCCAAAAACATATATTTTTTTAAAGCACACGGTGTATGGAAGAAAAAAATATTACCTACCGAACTGCTGAACACTTACATGGACACTGTATACTAGTTTTAAGACTGACATTTGTCTCACCACAGTAGAATTTTTAAAATTCACTGTAACTCCATTTGTAGGATCATTTGTTATGCATATGTGAAGCTTGCATATTAACAAGTTACCTTCTTAACATCTGAGCCAAAGTAACTTCATTTCTTGTAGATTATGTGCTGGTGTACAGTCCTTTGCTTTCATGTGTATTCAGTAATAATCCTACAGTCTTCTTTATCAAATATTTGCATATATTTGAGTTTTGTAACTGAATCTGGCTGACCTGGAAAGCTCAGAGACTCTGGGGAACTGAGAAGAATTCTTGAAAAATCTTTTATTTGAAAAAATTATCTAAAGTTACGATAATAATAAAAGAAAACATATCATGGAGGTGATGTTATGGCCTAATGCCAGTATGTGGTGCTATAATTGCTATAATTAGAATTACATTTCACATTCCTTAGAGGGTCTCATATAGTGACACTGCTATGTTTAAACAGTTGTGAACCCTAAGCGTACAGAGAAGCATTTAGATTCATTGCAGGGAAATCATTTCTTTACCCTGTGAAGCCAGAACTTAAGGCTAGGTCTAAATGGAGAACTGACAAGCGTGCTGTTATTTTCAGTCTCTTCTGTATGATTGTGGCCTAATTGCTAGTGACCGTCTCAGTAAGGTGTTTCATGAGCTACTCGACTTTGGTATAAGACATTGCTTTATACTATAAAATCATGTGTATCAATCTCTTGTAAACTGTAAATAATAAGTGATTGATGTGTTTCCAAATCTTTGTTATCACAGGTTTGTCTTTACTTTTGGGAAGTGGAAATAGGTAGAGCACTTCTCAGTGAGCACAAGAGTAGACAGACTTGTTCAGTCGCTCAGTCGTGTCCAACTCTGCGATCCCATGGACTGCAGCACTCCAGGCTTCCCCGTCCTTCACTACTACCTCCCAGCGTTTGCTCAGACTCATGTTCAGTGAGTCGATGGTGCCATCCATCCATCTCATCCTGTGTTGCCCCCTTCTCCCTCTGCCTTCAATCTTTCCCGAGTTCAGGGTCTTTTCCAGTGAGTCATCTCTTTGCATAGACCAACTTGAGTGTCACTCATAAATTGAGAAGAAAAAATAAGCCTGAATTTCTGGGGTTTGTGTCCACTTTCCTCTCTCTCCTTATCTTTTTTCCAGTTGTCCATCAGTGTTTTTTTCCTCCCTTCAGAGTTACTCTCTAATAATATTTTTTGGTCATCTCAGATTTCTAAGCATTGGACGGAATCTTCAAGCTAGTGACAAAGCTTGAGGTACAGAAAGAAAATAGAAAGGCACAAGAATATGCCAGTGTAGTGTGCTTCCTTATCTTTCTTGGATTGAAATTTAATTAAAGCTATGAACTCCCCCCAGGAAAAATACACCTAACCCACATAAAAATTGTAGCAGTTTCATGGAACTCCAAGGTCCAAAAAAAAAACCAATGGTGGACTGTTAGCTAGATGCCTGATGTTCCGCAACTGTGTTTACTCAACTGCACTCTAGGGATCACAGCTCTTATTCCCTTTTCACAGGTGTATTAGGAGAGAGCATGAACATTTTCTAGAAAGTACTTAAGAGATTAATGTGCTATGGAACAAACCCTATTACAGCAAAATGGAAAAATATGTAGTTCTTGTTGAATTGAAATTTCAGTAAAATAAGGTGTTTCCCTACCTAGTTTTAGGAGTCTTATATACAGATGACCTCATAAATGTGGTATTTTACTATAATGAGATTTTATGTGCCTGTGTGTGTATATGTGTGTCTATTTTCTGTTGCTTTGGTTTGCTATATTTATAGATATACCTCTCAAGTTATTGAAGCATATATTCTGAGTATAGAAGATTAGGACTCTGAAAATGTTTAGGGAAAATTTTTCATGTTTTGAGTGAATGAGTGCTTGTGGTTGCTTATGGGGTTGATGCAATGTACACTTAAAGATAATTGGACGGTTTTAGGAAAGCTCTCAGAAGCAGTTTGTATACTTGGTGGTAATCTTGTTAACTCACATTAAGGTAAATCTGAAACATCAAAGTGAACATTACTCTAAAAGTGGGGGTCTTTATGGACAATAGAAAATAGAGAAAGAGGGTCTCTGTAGCATATTTCCTCATTAAATTTTGTGGTCTGTCTTATTTTTTAAACTTGACTAAAGCAGTGTTATTTGAGAAATACGTAGCTCTTAGAGGTAAAAGAACAGATTCTTTAAAATTTCAACATTTTGTGACTTCCCAGATGGTCCAGTGGTTGATTCCATGCTCCCACTGCAGGGGACATGGGTTCAGTCTCTGATTGGGGAACTAAGATCCCACATGTTGCATGGTGCAGCCACAAAAAAAAGATAGAAATTCTGACATTTTAAGCTCTAAAAGTCAGGTTTCTGTTTCTAGTGCAAACTGAATGGACTTAAATTTCCCAGGATCTGTATTTCTGCTTATAGCTCTCAAGTATTAACATTCTTCCCAAAGATTATCAAGGACATCCTCTGTAACTTCCACAATGAGGTTGGTCCCCACCCTGTGTCTCAGTAGAACATTGGTAAGCTTCTGTGTTGAGGTTTTCTGTTGTTGTTTTTTGCTTGTTTGTTTTAACCAAATGATGTTTATTTTGAAGCTCGTCTTGGTGAGAGTTTTAAAATGGTGTATCCTTGCTATTTTAGGATGCACATTCACAGGGTGAGGTGGTATCATGCTTGGAGAAAGGCCTGGTGAAGGAAGCGGAAGAACGAGACCCTAAGATCCAAGTCTCTGAACTCTGCAAGAAAGCCATTCTCCGGGTGGCTGAGCTGTCCTCAGACGACTTTCACTTAGACCGGCATTTGTATTTTGCCTGCCGAGATGATCGGGAACGTTTTTGTGAAAATGTGAGTCAGCTCAGACACTGTTCTTCTTTGCTTCCTTTTCTTCCTAGTTTTTTTTTTTAAATACTTGATTCCAAAATTAAACCAACACTGTCACATGTAGAAAAGCCACTGAAATGGAAGGTGGGGTAGGTCCCAGGAAAACAGGAAGTTATCTGGGTATTGGCTGCTTAGGCCGTAGGTCATATCTAGGGAACACTTGGTTTCAGTCTCCCTTGCATTGTTCTTTCTACTTTATCTCACTTCTCAATTTCAGTTCGTGGAAGTCTATTTTACATACAGGAATCCTATCTTACCAGGGAATCCCATTCACGTATATCCCATGGCTAAAACTTGCCCATATTACATATTTATGTTGAGGTAGTTTGGGCTGAGATGAAGGAAATAGCAGGCAGCTAACTTTTAAAACCAAGTCCTTGGTTACTTGCTGCATACTCTATAGAACAACTTTCTAACCCTGTAGTCAGAAATAATCTCCATCTTTACCACAAAGGACTGAGAGTGTCTTGTGTATGTTCCCACTCTGTCTGCTGTTGTGAATTAACACATCAGAACCACTGAACAGAGCCACTGCCAGAGTTTTGTTGACTCTAACATTAAGTTATAAAAAGGAGACTCACTGACCCTTCTCTTGGTTCACTAATTAAGAGTACATCTGGGAACATGTGACAGGAGACAAACGCCATGGAAAATTTTTTTTCCATAATTATCGTGATCATTGTTTTCTTTCAAAGGCTGCTAAATTTTGTAAGTGGCTGAATCATGTGTTCAAAGATAGTCAGCATTATAATAATTTAATAGAAAGTCCTATATAAGATTATGGATTATGCCCAGCATAACTACTTAGCTAGTGATGATGGTGATGGTGATGGTGTTGTATTCCATCTTACAGACACAAGCTGGTGAAGGCAGAGTATATAAGTGCCTCTTTAACCATAAATTTGAAGAGTCCATGAGTGAAAAAGTAAGTATTTCTTTGAAACAGATCAGCATTTTATTCATTTTCCTAAAAGCTTTCTCAAATCCTCTCAAACAACATAAACTCATACCAAAATATAAAATACTGATACAGCTTAACCTTTCAGAGATAAAATACTGGGCCTTTATAGGAAACTAAAGCATATTACATTTAAACAAAAAAGTGAACCTTCTCATGATATCTGGACTTTGGGAAGTCAATGGGGAATCAGTTTGGGAAGTAAAATCAATTTTAATCCAAGTTACACTGAACCCATCTCTGTGTACTCAGGAAGTTTTGACTAACCAAACCAATGTGCTTCATAGGTGATTAGCGATTGAATTTTTCAGCAGCTGTCTCATTAAGCATTCTCATTACTGTTAGTCCTCTGTCCCTCAATGCATGCAAGACTCTTATGATTTTTAAAAGTAATTATTTTGGCCTTGCTGTCTTGTCATTTACTTTCCTGTGCACTGAAGAGCTATTTTTAATTTCAGTTCCTTATATCAGTTCAGTTCAGTTCAGTCGCTCAGTCGTGTCCGACTCTTTGCAGTCCCATGAATCGCATGCCAGTCCTCCCTGTCCATCACCAACTCCCAGAGTTTACTCAAACCCATGTCCATCTAGTTGGTGATGCCATCCAACCATCTCATCCTCTGTCGTCCCCTTCTCCTCCTGCCCCCAATCCCTCCCAGCATCAGGGTCTTTTCCAATGAGTCAACACTTGTCATGAGGTGGCCAAAGTATTGGAGTTTCAGCATCAGTCCTTCCAATGAACACCCAGGACTGATCTCCTTTAAGATGGACTGGTTGGATCTCCTTGCAGTCCAAGGGACTCTCAGGAGTCTTCTCCAACACCATAGTTCAAAAGCATCAATTTTTCGGTGCTCAGCTTTCTTTATAGTCCAACTCTTACATTTACTGTTGAATAATTATGTTTAAAAAGTACAGAGTGGAACGTCCAGAGTGTTATGTCAGTTGCCACTTTCATTCTGGTGAAATTTACTTTAGGGATATTTGTTGAAGAGGAAAAGAATACATTGTCAAGTTGATGTATGAGAATCTACCAAATATTTATGTGCTTAGACAGTTGCTATTGCTGTAGGAATCCACAGCTCACCATAGAATTCCAGAGTTGCCCACTCACGTATCGCTCCTTCTTGCCACTCTACACACTTGTGCTCGATTTTAACCAAACTGAAACACAGACATTTTGCTAACGACTGCAGTTGCTTATTGTACCTGGCCATGAGCCTCTGCTTGTCTTAGAGGTTCCTGTGAACGGCTGGACCGTGTGAGCAGTCTCACAGCTCTCTTGCTGCACTCTCTCCTCAGTGTCGAGAAGCACTAACAACCCGCCAGAAGCTGATTGCCCAGGATTATAAAGTCAGTTACTCACTGGCCAAATCCTGTAAGAGTGACTTGAAGAAGTACCGGTGCAATGTGGAAAACCTTCCCCGGTCCCGGGAAGCCAGGCTCTCCTACCTTCTGATGTGTCTGGAGTCAGCTGTGCATAGAGGTGAGAGCTCATTTCTTTGTATCTTTTCCGATCCTTTTGGATCTTTCCTCCTGTGTTAGCTCTTTTGAGTACACCTGTCTCTGTGACTCCAGAGTCTGTCTATGCCAGCAGAACTCTAGGCTGAGGGCTTGGAGGCCCTAAGTCTTGTTGAAGGCCTTTCCTCTTAATGGCCTTAAAGTCTGTTTTTCTTTATGTCCCAGCTTTTTTTTTTTAAGGTTTATTTCTCAAATTCAAATTTTAATTTTTTTTTTCAAATTCAAATTTTAATTTTTAAAATACTTGTTGCACAGCAGTTTTAGGAGAGTCAGGGAAGTATAATGATTTAGCACATGGGCTTTGGGTCAGAGAGACATGACTTCAAATTATGACTCTTTTCAGCAAACTAACTGGCCAGGTGACCATTGTTTATGTTTCTTAATCTCTCTAAATCTCATTTTTCAATCTATAAAGCAAAAATACATTACCTGTGTTGAGGAGTTCTTTTGAGGACTGAACGAGGTTATTTGACGTAGCACTTAGCATGTGATAAGTGATAAGTAGTATTATTAGTCTAACAGTGTTTATCAAGAAATTAAACAGTAAAGGAAGAAAGGATTATCTCATGAGGTCAGACTCAGAGTCTGTTCAATCCAAAATGAATCCCTGACACAGGAATCAAGAAGGATGTTTAAAGGTCAGGGTCATTAAGAAAGAACATTTCTTGGGCCCTCCCTGGAGGTCCAGTGGCTGAGACTCCATGCTTCTATTGCAGGGGGTGAGGGTTTGTTCCTACATGCCACATGGAGTAACTAAAAAATTAAAACTAAGAAATATTCTTTTTTTTTCTAAATTTCTTAATATGGACTATAGGCTATAAAAATGAAGTTTCTAGCTGCTTAATGAATCATGCTGGGACAATTGACTAGTGATTAAAAGTCAGGTGGGAAAAGATCAGTTGTTAAAGCTCAGAACTTTATGGTGATTTTTTTTTTTTTTTTGGTATCTGGGTAGTTAAAATCTCCTAAACTTAAAAGCCAGTAGAATAGCAACCAGAGAGAGTGCATGGTCTTGGACTGACTACCAAACAAAGGATATTTTGAAGGCAATTTGGAGAATTTTGATTATGGTCTGGGTATTTGATGAAATTTTCCTGAAATGTAAAGTTGGAGATTGTTGACTAGTAAAGGCATATCATAAAACAGTATAACATCTAATTTGGTATTAAAAAAAATAGATAATCTTGTTAAACTGCAGATTAACAGGAAACACAGAAAGACCCCACAAACACACAGACACAGGATGTGAACAGATAGTTCATGGGAGTTACATGGATTGCTGGGCTCCCCTGGTGGCTCAGACAGTGAAGAATCCACCTGCAGCGCAGAAGACTCAGGTTCCATCCCCGGGTCAGGAAGCTCCCCTGGAGAAGGGAATGGCTACCCACTCCAGTGATCTGGTTAATACTACAACGTCTGACCATACTGAGTGTTGGCAAGGATGTGAAAGAACTGGAACTACACTACTGGTGGGAATTTAAAATGGTATAGCCACTTTGGAAAGTAGTTTGCCAGTTTCTTAAAAAGTTCTGTATACATCTATCTCATGACTCAGCCGTTAACTCCTAGATGTTCACCCAAGAGATGGGAAAGCGCATGTCCAAGTAAACTCTTGTGCGTGAATGCTCATAACAGCTTCTTTGTAATAGCCCAACACTGGAAATAACCTAAATGTCCGTAAGTGGTTTAGGGGATAAACAAATTGTAGTATATCACATAATAGGATGATATTACTTGGTAGTAAAAAGGAACACACTGTTGATTCATGGTTGAATCTCAAAAAGTCTGAAGTCAGGCCTAAAAAAGGAGTTCATAGTGTGTTATTCCATTTATATGAATGTTATTTACATGAACTTCTAAAAACTGCAAACTGGTAAACTAATCTGTAGTCGTAGAAAGCGAAGCAGTGGTTGACTGGGCATGAGATAAGTGGTAGAAAGGAAAGGGAGGGATTCTAAACGAACATGAGGAAACTTTTGTGTTTTTTTTGTTTTTTTTTTTAAAAATCAAATCAATTTTTATTTTTTATTTATTTATTTATTTATTTTTTTTTTAGTAAATCATACATTTTATTTATTTATTTTTCACAACCATAGTGTATCTTTTATGAGGAAACTTTTGAAGTTGATGGATATACGTTCAGTATCTTGATTGTGGTGATGGTTCCATTGATGCATATGTATGTCAGACTTATCCAGTTATATGTTTTAAAAGTGTAGTTTGTTATATGTCATTTATACCTTGGTGGTAAAGAATTCACCTACAATGCAGGAGATGCAAGAGATGCAGATTTGACCCTTGGGTCAGGAAGATCCCCTGGAGAAGGAAATGGCAACCCACTCCAGAATTCTTGCCTGGAGAATTCCATAAACAAAGGAGCCTGGTGGACTACAGTCCATGGGGTCGCAGAATCAGACATGACTGGGCACAGCATGGCAGCATACCTCAGTAAAATTTTGTGTTATTTTTTTTAAGTAAGTTTTTGCAGATGGCGTTGACAGCTCAAGGAAGAGTTGGGGAACCGTAGTGAGTATCTGAAGTGAAGTTTCTTCCACAAGCTTACAAGCTGTAAGCCAGGGATTTTCCTGGCTTTCATTTTCACCCTAGTAGTTATCTTATATTGATAAGACTTCTGTTGGCAAAACACATGCATTATTAGTTCAGTAGTATAAATCTGTGTAAGATAGAACACTGACAAGGTAAACCCTGGTCTTTGGAGTTTTATGCTGATAAAGCTTTTGCTGAATTCTCAGCTTTTCAGTCTGGATGATAGCATGACTATGTATTGTAGTCAAGGGGTAAACTTGTATTTCTCATGTGTAGTAGTCTCTGATCCTGATGTCCATGATGCTGTGACTTGCCTCCTCACAGGGCGACAGGTGAGCAGCGAGTGCCAGGGGGAGATGTTAGATTACCGCCGCATGCTGATGGAAGACTTCTCTCTGAGCCCTGAGATCATCCTGAGCTGTCGAGGGGAGATTGAGCACCACTGCTCTGGATTGCATCGGAAAGGGCGAACCCTGCACTGTCTGATGAAAGTGGTTCGGGGGGAGAAAGGGAACCTTGGAATGAACTGCCAGCAAGCGGTAAGGACCCATTTTCTACTGCTGTTTTTGATGTTAAAACATTTTATCAGCTGAGGAACCTCTTCTTCCTGAGCTAATTTATCTAGATCATGTGTGTCATCCCAGTGAACTTTAGGTATTAAGAACTAGTCAAAAACTGAAGATAGATGATCTAAAGGGAAAAAAATGTTCTTAGTTGTCTGCTTCATTATCTATCCTCGGTCAGATGGAGGGATGTTCTGCAGTAATTTCTTTCTCAAAGTCTCCTTCCTTGGTACAGTAGTCTTCCACACTTGTCTGTGGTTGACCATTAAGTTTCTTTGTTTTCTGCTTGGTGGCTTTGATTTAGTGATCTGTTAACAAACTGTGAAGCTTCAGAATAATTGTTAATGAGTATATGCTCTTCCAGATACTCTGTGAACATGAACTTAAATTCTTTTCAGCTATGACTGAACAAATCTGGGCCCAGTCTCTCTTAGACCAAAGAGACTGCTGTTTTTCCTCTAGACTAATCATTTTTTGGAAGCATTTTCTCGGGTTTTTCTAACCAGTCAGGGAAGGAATAGGTATATAATCACATAACCATTCACGTTCTTAGTGTTGACATCCCCCACTGCTGTCACTGGATTCCGGTGTGGTGGTGATCCCTTGAGCTGTTAACCTCCTGTTCTGTCGGGCATTCACTGTCATCTTTTAGAACCTGCAGTCTGGTGCATGCACTGAGAATGCTCAGAGTTGGCCTGTCAGTCATGGATATTTAATTGATACAGTTCTTAGAGAAACTTCCAGACTTGCATGATGCTTAATAACAGTCTCTCAAAAAAAGATGTAAATATTTTGGTCTTCATCAGCAAACATCATAAATATAATTGGTAGTCATTTGACAGTAGTAATAATCTACTGACCAACCACTGCATTTTGTAGCTTCTTCAAATTGCCACAAAGAATTGGTATAAATAACTTCCATCCCAGGAAACTGGAAATTTTTCCTATTTCTCTCATCTTGTTTGTTGACTTCTTTGAGAATAGACAGATTTGGGATTTTTCTTTTTTCATTTTCTTTTGATCTTTGTTCTCTGATCAAACATGCGATGGGGTCAGTGCTTTCGTATGAGCCTCTGTGAGACTGTAGGTGACACGTATGAGGATTAGAGAAGGCTCCTACAGAGGCTAAATCCATGACACAAAAAAGGCCTCCAACTCTTTAACTTGGAACAAAGGGAGCCCCAGGCGGAAGGTTGTAGTTTTCAGATTTGCTTTGTGTTATTTAAGATTTCCACCCCAAAACACCATCTGCTGCCCGTCTGTAGTAATAATGATTATTTTTAATCTGCAAAAAGCTTTGCAGCTTACACAACCTTCTATATATTATTCTTTGTTATAATCCTCCACAGTTAAAAAAAACTGGAACTTAGAGGTTAATCAACTTGCCTTTGTTCTCAAAGCTAATATCTGGCAGTGCCAGACTATTAATAGAACTCAGGTTTTCTCATCCCTAATTTAGAGCTTTTTCTTCTGTGCCCCAGTTGCTTTCTCCTCAAAGACAGGGAAAAAAAGAATCTGAGGCACATCTTCTCATGCTTTCACTTTATTTTATGACAAAGGTTGGAAGCAGAAGTAAATGTTAAAGAATATATTCTCATTTTCAGCTGCATAATGACAAGTATTTTTCTGTATACTTGTGATAGACAAGCTCTGGTTTATCTCTTGGGTATATAAAAAAAGTTGAGAAAAAATAGGAAATTATAAGTAATATTATATTTTTATTTTCTATAAATGATATTTCTTATAACTGAAATCTCCTTTTAATGAACCAGAGTATACTTGTTTTATACCAGTGTCTTTGCAGCAAAATTCAAATTCTAGATTTTTAAGACCAAATCAGATCTCTAACTGGAAATATCTTCTGTTTACTCTTCTCCACTCAGCTTGGCACTGAATATTAAATTTACGATAATTTGATTAACAGATGTGAGGAAAGGGGCAGTTTTTATATTGTAAGGTTCTTTTGTTTTGCAAATACCCAGGGATTGTTCATGCAGGTAGGCAAGCTATCCCTACAATGAGTTATAATCCTGCAAAGTAGAGGAACCAGTTGCAACATATTTGACCAGAGCTGTTGAGCTTGTCTAGTGACAATCGTAGTACTTTGTTAAGTGTACATTGTGATATACCATACTGAGAACTGATTAAAGATACGACACTGCTCACCCTCGATGTATAAGTGACTTTTTTTCTTCCTTCTTGCTGTTTTTTTTCAATCCAGCTTCAAACACTGATTCAGGAGACTGACCCTGGTGCAGATTACCGCATTGATAGAGCTTTGAATGAAGCTTGTGAATCTGTAATACAGACAGCCTGCAAACACATAAGATCCGGAGACCCAATGTAGGTTATTTTATTTGTGGTATTTATCCACATATTATATCTGGCAGCGCAACATGGGGAACATATCCTCAAATGACTTTCGGATGGTTCAACAACTGAAACCTCACTAAACAGGAACACATACCAGCTTTTGTTAAGACTGGTACTGGGGCTGAGACCTGGGCTGTGCCACACCTGTGATGTGGAGAACCTCGCCCTAGCTTTGTCGTGATGTCTGTTGACAGTGACTGAGAACATACAGTCTTAGATATTAGGTCACCAAATCATTCTGCTTAATGGTCAGATAAAAGAGGAACTCTCAGGATAAAATGACACATGCTTTGTTGGCCGTATACTTTTCATTCCATTTGTACATTGACTCATATACGTTGGCTTCTTGACAATTATTAGAGAGTAATTAATTTTACTTGAAATAAAACACAAAATGTGGTGGGAGGAAGGGTTCACTGTGGACACAATGAACTCTGAAGTTGTATCCAAGATCTAGGAAAGCTGTAAAATGCTATGATAAATCATTGGAGTTTCACATATTGTTTTTATTCAGTATGATATGCAAACAGGTCTTAAAACCAGGTTGCAAGAAAGAACAGGTTTCCCATTCTGCAAAAATCTTTATAGCCTGCAACCGGCAATACCCAACTGTGTGAAACAAATGCAGTCCATGTTTCTCATCATTCTGCTATGCATACCCTCCAGCTGTTCATGCTGGGGTAAAATGTTGGAGAAAGGTCTTCCTCCTTAAGGAAGGAGGTTGGAGGGAGTAGACAAACACTGTTAAGACTGACTATTTACCAATAGGAAAATAACTCTGTCAACTGTTAAGGAGGCAGCGGGGAGGGAGGGAGGCGGGAACACCTATAGATAAAATAGATTTAAGATACTATCAATTAAAGGCAGGATGTAGACCTTTTCTGGGTCCTGATTTGAACAGACCTGTGAAAAGGCATGAGACAATTGGAAAAATTTGAAAGCTGACAGGATATTGCATTATATTAAGGATTTTTAAAGTAATTTCTTTGATGGATAAAGGTATTATGTTTCCATATTATAGAGAAACATGCTGAAGTATTTACAAATGAAATGATAGGGTATCCAGGATTTACTTCAAAATATCATCTAAGGGGGTATAGGGTTAAAACAAACTTGGCCATAGATTGGGAGGGGAAGATGGATATAATATGATTCTCTACTCTTGTGTGGTTGGAAGTTTCTCATGATAAACAGCTAATTGTAAAGCAACTGCACACAGATCTTGTATAAGCTGAGTCCTCAGTGCTAAGTGGCTCTGAAGTTGATAGAAGGCAGAGTCACGGTTAGGTTGAGTTAATTTGAGTGATTCTTGGGAAAGTAAGTTCCTGATTGCCTAGGAAAATAGCTGAGTGGCTTTTTCTGCAGACAAGGAAGTATTAGTGTGAGAGTTCTGAGCCAGAACTGTCCCTCATTCCAATTTCACCCCTGTTTGCTGCCCAGGATCCTCTCGTGCCTGATGGAACATTTATACACAGAGAAAATGGTGGAAGATTGTGAACATCGTCTCTTAGAGCTGCAGTATTTCATCTCCCGAGACTGGAAGTGAGTATTCTGAAGCCATAATAAGTGTAAGCCTCTGCCTGTTCTCCTGGATAGACACTATCCTTCATATTTTTTTAAAATAATCACTAGTAATTTGTTTTTGTTAAGTTATGGGAAAGCTGGCACTCTGATCTCCAGAAAAACCTTTCTTGCTTTCAGAACAGTCTCTAAAGGCCGAGACAGCCCCTGCAGGTGTCCCCGTGTCCCCATCAGTTACTACATTGGCAGTCAGGGTCAGGTGTTCTGATATCACAGACTCCTTCTGGAAAGAACTTGGGCACCTGTGGGGCAGCGGAAGCATCTTCAAATACGTCTCTAAGAAGAGAATAGTGATTTTTAATTTTTATTGATTTGTCTTGGGTGTGGGATTTTACTTTATTCCTGTGACTAATTCAATGTTATTGAATTTATTCTATCTTAAGAAGCTCTTATCAATAAATGACAACTTGATTCTCTTCTCATCCTGTTAGAAAAGCGGGGAGGGAGGTCAATGAACTAGAAAGACTCTCTGTCATGGTCAGAATAACTGTTGTGTTGGCTGCAGTCTCTCACTCTTTGCGCACCTTATTTTCCCTTCCCTCCTCTGGACCAGGCTGTTCCTCCTGCCCCCCCGAGTTGAGCTGCTTCCTGATTCAGTTGTTCTTAGCTGCTGTGCTTTGGTCATTTTTATTTTTTTCTGGTGAATAATATATGTTTTACCCGCATACTTTACTGAAAAGAGATTATTTGAAGACTCAGTGTGTTTCTGTTTCCTCAAGTTAGCCCCTGAAAGGACTTCAGAAAGCGGGGTGGGGATTTCCCCATGCTTACTCATGCTGTCTAAACTGAGATAGCAAAGAGCTTACTGACTCTTATTACCTTAAAAAATTATATCTTAGGGTTTTGGTTTCTAATGTCTTTTGGTTTTTTCTCTTGTGTAATTCCTTCATCCATGATCAAAAGATGCTTCACAGTCTTTATATTTTTAATTGGAGGGGATAATTGCTTTACAATATTGTGTTGGTTTCTGCCATATATTAATGTGAATCAGCCATAGGTGTGTGTATGTCCCCTCCCTCTTGAACCTCCCTCCCACCTCCCACCCCATGCTTCACAGTCTTTAAAGCTGCTAGTTAAATATTAGCCTTTTTCCTCCCATTAAGTAGCCCTCCCTCAAATTTGACATTATTGTGTAGATAGAATGAAATATCCACTGGTCTGATTTGGAAATGCAGCTGGCTCATCACCTAACCCACTGTCTCCAGAATCAAAATTAACTGTCAAAAAAGCTTTTTAAATTGATAAGCATGTCCAAGTAAACTAAGAATGCAACTGCCTTACCTTGCATGGAAAACTGCTAGAAGGGAATTTGAGTAGATTATTTATCTTGTCCTTTTCTGATCTTAATGAATCTAGCATAGTAAGTAGGATTGAATTATACTCACACTTGGAATAAAATGATAAGGAAAAGTTGCAAATTGCCTGGTGATAGCTACAACCCTTGTTGTCAATTTTCAACCAGGACATATTAATGCCGAGTCTGTTATTGTAATGTTGTGTGCCTTACACTGCAAGATACCATCTTTGAGGCAGAACTTAAAATCTTCTGTTTTAAGGATTAAACTTCTCCAGATTGACTACTGTGTGTTCTTGAAGAACAGAATTCAGAAATATACTTGTGCTTACCTGTTGTCTCCATTACCCTAGAAGTGATTGTCGACCGGTATACAGACAAGCACCTTGCAAAACCCCTTAGCATGTCATTGGGAGGAAATGTACAGTAAGAGTAATTGTCTCTTAACTCTTAACCTTACAGGCTGGACCCTGTCTTGTACCGCAAATGCCAGGGAGATGCATCGCGTCTTTGCCACACCCACGGTTGGAATGAGACCAGTGAACTTATGCCTCCCGGAGCTGTGTTCTCCTGCTTATACCGCCACGCCTACCGCACTGAGGAGCAGGGCAGGAGGGTATGCACTGGATACTAACTTCATTTCTTCCTGTTGGTCCTTTGTTTAATTCGTTTGCTACAAACTGTTGTGATTCTTGTTCCTCCTAAGACAACTGTTAGTGTGTCTGGCGAGGAGGGTTACTTTATTACTTGAAGGTTCTTCATGCAGTGAGTATACGTAGAGTTGTTCTACCAGCTTCTTCCCATCTGATTTTATGTTTTTAACAAAATGAGAGGACATTTCCAATTTTTCTTTATGTTACCAAAATCTAAATAGACGAGTAGACAGATGCTGCTACCCTAACTTTATGTAGCTTTAAAGACCCATTATAAGCTCCTAGCCAAAACATAAAGGGCTGTTAGGCGTCTGCTCTTGGTGGCAGGACCCGTAATGCCTGTATTGATGAGGCCTCTCCAGCAGTGCACTAGGGGGCTGCAGCCTCTTCCCCCGACTCTTGGTATTCCTCTGCCCTTTGAGGCAGCAACAAGTGCTGCCTCTTGTTGGGATATTTGTGTATGCTTGACAACATTTGCTGCCTGCTGGTCCCATACTGTTTATTCTCTCTTAAATCAGGACCAGCATTCTAGTCTGTGTTCATATGGTAGTGGCACATTAATTTAGCTAAACAAAAAAACTCTCTACCTTATCCAAACAAATCCAGTTCGCATTTTAATTGACATATGGCTTACAATATTGTATTAGTTTCATGTGTCCAGTGTAGTGATTTGGTCCTAGCTCACTTTTATCAGGATCCTCTGAGAAAAGGAGAGTGTTTCATACAGTATTTTAGAAAATGCTGAATTTAGCATCACATTCCAAGAGGTAAAGGTGTTTAGAAGCCTCCTAGAACATTTACTTTTTCTTTTGCGAGAGATGAGATACAAAGTTTGGTTCAAATAACTGTAAAGTTACATCAGTTTTCTGATGATAGATTTTCTGTATCTCATGTCATTTGGTTAGTATTTTGCTGCTTATTTCTCATACAGCTCTCAAGGGAATGCCGAGCTGAAGTCCAGAGGATCCTCCACCAGCGTGCCATGGATGTTAAGTTGGATCCCGCCCTCCAAGACAAGTGCCTGATTGATCTGGGAAAGTGGTGCAGTGAAAAAACAGAGGCTGGACAGGTAGGTGGTGGAGCTGCCTGCTTACCCTGTGGGGACAATAGTGATGCTGTTCACGGTGACATTGTATGGAGGCTGCAAGCACCATAGGATTAATCTCCAGCAGCTTCACAGACAGGCTGTGTTATGTTAGTCATTGTTCTGTCTATGAGAAGTCCTGAGGAAAAGGTTCTCTTTGGTCTATGTAATTGTACTTCTCCTAAGCAGTTAGTTTGGTTCAATGTTATGGTTATTACATTTTATAACTGATTGTTTTCTCTCCTCATGTTGCCTCTTAAAAAGCCTTAAGCCAAAGATATAGCCTGCCTTTAGCAAGCGTATAAGATTTTGTTGTAGGCATATTGTGTACTGACTTGCTACTGGCTTCATTCCACTTTCCTTAAAGTTTCCTTTTTTTTTTTTTTTACTCATTTTTAATTTATTTTATCTTGCCTTTTTTTTTCTTACTTTTTTAAGTCCTTTTGAGGGAAGGCAAGATATAAACATGTACACTGATATGTAAATACTATATGCATGAATAGTGTATGTGCTTGCCCTACCACAGATCTAAAAGAGATGTAGGAATGGAATTACATTTCCCACTTAGTAATTGATACAGTTGATGTATAGAGAAATGAAGTGTATTGACTTTCTTGCTCAGAGCTCATAACCCTAGCCAGGCATTTGTTACATTTTATTATAACCTCTTCGGGAAAGTGTAGAAAAGGACTAGTCCCAAGAATCAGGTGCGTGCTGTAAGTGGCTTGTTAGGATTTTGTGCCTAGTTAAAAAAAAAAGAAGATATGTAAGATATGTTACTGCATTCCAGCAAATTAAGTGGGAAGATTGCTTATCTTTTATCTCAAGGTGAAGAAACCAAGCTGTGAGGAACAGCTACTGGTTTAAAGCCCCATTAATACTAGAACGAGGCAGGAACAGTTCCATTTGTACCACTCCAAAACACCCTCTGGGATTAAATTAATAAAAAGTCACATGTGCAGGAATTGGACATTTTTTACAAGCAACATAATGCCTACTCAGATCTGTTGGCCTGGGAATATCATTTTTGGCCGTCTGTTTCCTGGGCCTACTGTAGTTCTGTCGAGTTTATTGTTAGAAAATGCCATATAATTTAGCTTTCTGCTGCCTCCGTCTACTGAAGCAGGGATATGGTCATATGGAATCCCACGAAACAGTCTCATTTCTTACCCTCTGTAAAGGAACGGTAAGAAAGCTGTACCACATTACAGCCCATGACTGTGGAGCTAAACTTAGGAAGTGAGTTCACAAATGGGATTTTCCCCTTAGCCACTTATCTACTCCCAAAAGTTTTATGCATTTTCCTTTAGGGTCCCCCGCCCCTCCACTCCCTTTCTGACTCTTGTATAATTCCTGCATTCCTGCAGTCCTTCTCCTCCCTTTCCATTCTGATTCCGAAACAGATTCTTGCAGAATACTCAGGAAGTTAAACTTGATCCTTTAACAGAGCCCTTTGCTGAGAAATAGCTGTTCATGTGCTTTGGGAAAGTAGGCTAAATGTAAAACTTAAACCCTCTAGGTTTAATAATAGACTGATGTTACAAGGTAGCTCCAGCTCAGTTTCCAAAGCCCAGGTGAAATGGCTTTTAGATACTCAAGCTCTAGTGTGCTCACCTGTTGTGCAGGTACCCTCAGAGGATCCTTTTATTCGGGCAAGGGTTAGAATCCCAGATTTGATTTGCAGGAGCTATTCATTTTCTACTGTGTTTTAGACCCTGTGTCCCCAGCCTGCTTTGCCCATGAAGAGTCTTAAAATATGCCATATCTTTCACTGAATATTTTGTCCAGCGATTATCATGAAAATACAGATTAGCAGGGTGTTGACGATTGAAGGCCTGTAAGATCCTCAGACTCTGAGAACACCTGAACGTTGATTCTCTGTGGACTTACCAGTTTGGCCTTCTGAATGATTTGCATGGTTGCTGTACCCCTTTGACCCTCTTAACCACCCTGATACATCAGATCATTCATTATCTTTTCAACAATCCCAATTTGGGGAATCAAATAAAGCTTTAGCATTTTGTTCAGTGAAGTCATTTTAAAAAGAAAAGACCTCTGAAAAGGAAGGTATCTCATCTCCCCTTGATCACTGATATAATTAACAAATGCTAAGAGATCGCCTTTTTATTGGCAGGAGCTTGAATGCCTCCAGGATCATCTCGATGACTTAGCTGTGGAGTGCAGAGATATAGTCGGCAACCTCACTGAATTAGAATCCGAGGTGAGCAGTTTGCAACTTGTGGAAGGAAAAGTGCCCTGTCAGCAGCCTTGGTTTCCTTCTGTTTCTAGAAACAGTTCTGCTGTTTCTGGACTCTTGAGAGAGCAGCTTCTCTGTAGAACAAAAGCAGTCTTGTCAGATTGCTTGCTTTATCAAGAAGAGTATTGTGACGCTTCCTGAGCCCCTTTTCTCATTTCTTCAGCATTTAGCCCTTTGATCTGCTTCATAAATCAGAATTAACACAGTGACTAAACCAGTATCAGTCACATTCAAGGATAGCCCACGCACTCCTATTCTGTCATCCTTTAGTTGTTTCAGTTAGATCATTTGGTAATGTGTGTTCACTGAAATAAAAGCCTCGGATTTGCAGTTAAACATGGAAGATTGATTACATATGTTTTTCTTTGTTCCATCCTAAAACCCCCTAAAATACAAGAAGTGAGATTTTAAAAAACCTTCTAAGCATAGGCATACTATTTCAAAATACAGAGATTATCATTGAAGGGGAGGCAGTTAAAGATGCTTAAGTTGTTTTGTAGGGTCTGACATCAGGGAAACAGGGAATTGCTGTTTTGTTTATTAGCCTTTTAGAACTATTTAAGTTGTCAGAATTTGCATATATAAAATTATATTTCTCAGGGTCTTTTTTTTCTCGCTTCTATTTTTCAAAAGTGTGCTGCCTTCTTTTATCTGCTGTCAGCTCCTGTCTCATCCTCATCGTCTTTGTGGGCTAATGAGGACGATCTGGGGCGTGCTGCTCTTTAAAGGACAAGTTATTTCAGCAGCTGACGCTGCACAGCCGTTACTTCCCTTGAAGGTGGTTAGCACGTGTTCCCAGGAGGCAGCGGTTTGTCGTCTGGTCTGATGACGGGGTGATCGATGTCAGTTACTCCTGTTTTCGTTTTGAACTACTTGGCTCTGGGGAGAAACTCCAAAGGCTTTACATATTCTAGCATTATTTGTAAATTCTTTTTTTCTCCCCACTGTTCTAATCCTGCCTTCCCTCTTGTTGAAGCACAAGGGGAATCTGCCTCTGGAAAACTCACCTTCCAAAGTGTCATGAAGGAGCATTAGAGGAGGAGCATAGAACTCTGTTCTGTTCACGCTGAGGCTCTCTCACTGAAATGCTGGAAAAGTTCCCAAATATACTTACTGGGTTACTTACCCGTCAGATGATACTGATGCAGAGAAAGAAATGGCTCCTTCCCCCACCCCTGGCTCTTTCTAAAGCAGAATTACTAATGTTTTAATTTTCTACAGGATATTCAAATAGAAGCCTTGCTGATGAGAGCCTGTGAGCCCATCATTCAGAACTTTTGCCACGTAAGTGATGTCTGGAGGAACACGGGTTAGAACCAATTTCACTGGGGCTCTGGCCCCCACATGTGTTGGACTCAAAATGCCCACATTGTTTCTGAGTGATAACCAACTTTAACAAGTTAAAAGTTGAAAATGTAAACAACATCAGGAGGAGTCAGGAGGGGTCCACCATTCAGGGAAGCCCTATTTGCTTACCCCTCATGGATGACCAGATAGGTGATTGGCAGCACTTGGCCAAGATGCCCTTTGTAAGGAAAGGGGAAAGGGGAACCCCATTAGCAGGACTGAGTTGCCTTCAATACATACAGCCAAGATTTGTTAACAGCAGGGTGTCTGTCCCCTTTCAGCTATCTCCTTCTACCTGATGTTGAGGGAATTCTATTACTTTATGACTCACTGAACTACCTAAATTGTGGGAGTAAAACATACTCATTGTTGGATGTTATCTCCAAGCCTGCTGCCCACTCCATATAAGGAAAGGACTTAGAAGAGCTGCACAGTACACGTTTTTATTAGAGCTTCATGCAGGGCAACTTGCTGTGTAAATTTTATTTCACTGAACGTTGGTCCTTCATCATTTCTCAGGCTTATTTGGACATAATTTCTGATGTGCCTTATTTGTAATGGCTCTAGAATCAGTCTCATTTGCATTTTTTCATGGGCTGGGATGCAGGATTTGTTCAGGAATGGTTACAAATGAAGTGTTAAGTATGCACTGCCTTCCCCAGGATGTGGCAGATAACCAGATAGACTCTGGGGACCTGATGGAGTGTCTGATTCAGAACAAACACCAGAAGGATATGAATGAGAAGTGCGCCGTCGGAGTCACCCACTTCCAGCTGGTCAGTAGTGCCCAGCACGTCCTTCTTGTCTCCAACGATTAGGCTGTTGAACCTGTTCCCCTTTCCTCTTTCAGGACATCAGAGCACCTCTTCAGTGAAAAATCATTTTTTCCAAATACCCGTTTAGTGCAGCAGCTCAGATGGGTATCAGTACACTAGGATCTAAGCCTTTCTTTCTTTTAAACCATGCTACCCAGGTCTGGCATTTGAATGAGAAGATTAAACCATAGTCTTCGTAGTTACCCCAGGCCTAAGTGAAGTATTTCTAATAAAGCAAGCACATCCTTCCCAGGAGGATGAAATCGAGTCATCTTTGAAAAACTGACCTCTTCTTGGGGCACTCGCCTCCCCAACTGCTTCCCTGAGTGGTTCTCAGGGCCTCTGGACTGCGGGCACTGGGAGATGGGGAAGAATAGACACACCCTGCCCTTGGTGACCTGGGTACGTTCTGGTGAGAGAAATGCAAAAAGACATTTACTGATAAGTATATAGTTTCAGCTGAGTTTGTGAAGAAAAATAAAGCAGCATAAGGCCTGCAGGGTGATGGAGAAAAAGGGACTTGAGAAGGAGGTGTTTGAATGGAAGTGTCAAGGAAGTGAGGCATCATGCCGCGGGGAGACCTCGGGGGAGAGGCCCCACCTGTCTGTGACTGGAAGCCGGGGTGCCTGGGAGCAGAAGATCACGCTTCCCGGCATGCGCCCAGCAGCAAGCCAGGGAGCCTGAGGGAGGCAGAGTGCCGGCCGGGAGGCAGGCTGCTACAAAGAGCATATGAGCACAGTTACACGCAGCACTGCGGGTGAGGCCTTGTCACAGAGCTTCTGACTTTCTTTTCCATCCCCTTATTCAGGTGCAGATGAAGGATTTTCGGTTCTCTTACAAGTTTAAAATGGCCTGCAAGGAGGACGTGTTGAAACTTTGCCCCAACATAAAGAAGAAGTATGTGGCTTTTAACTGATCTGTTCTGCCTCCCTGTGGCCCCTCTTGGCTACTGGATGAGTAGCTAAGATGTCAGGTGGCCGACTGCTGTCTGGGAGATTGACCTCCTGCACACCCCTTTGGTATTACGGCCGAACCCCGGGGTTGCCTAGACATAGCCTCTCTGTGGCAGCTGAGAGCCACACCTGGTGGTAGTTCTGAAATGGAGAGACCTTTAATTTTTCCATGTTCAGTCCGCCTAACTGCTGAAGCAGATACAGGTTTGTGTACTTAGATGAGCAGGTTGCAGTGTGAACAGGAGGTTAGCTGATGTCCTCGGGCGTCATCCCATTACGTCATCTCTTCAGGGAAGCCACGCGGGCCTTCCCTGAGTGAGAGAGTAGTAAAGAAACACACACGTATTCATCTGAGAACTCGGTGCTAATGAGAACGATGAGCCTTGATGGCATGGCTTCCCGAATTCTTCCATGCTGCTCTTTGCAGAAGTGAATTTCTGGAACGCGTTCCCCCTCAGATAAACCGGGTTCCCGTTTTGCTGAGGTTTCTGTCCTTTTCAGAGTGTGTTTTCACAGTGTAGCAGAGACACTGTCCAGAGTTGCGAGTGGAGTGGCATTCCTCTCTAGTAACATGTATTTGACAAAACAAGCGTTAAACTGTCCTTGCACACACACCCCCTCTATGGCCCCCCAGCCAGCTGGGGATGTTGTCAGCATTTGGGCTGGAGCCCAGTGTTTGTGACGTGTACAGTCAAATTGCTGCATTGAGCGCTCTGCAAACAGAGTGAGACGTAACAGGAAAGGCATTCAGAACATGGTAAAGGGGTACCTGGGCCCTGGAGGGCTGGTGTGGCCCTGCCCCAGCCCTGTTCTCAGCCTTCTTTTGTGTGGCTCCAGCCCGGCTCAGGCCTCTTCTTTCTGCGCAGGGTGGACGTGGTGATCTGCCTGAGCACCACCGTGCGCAACGACACTCTCCAGGAAGTCAAGGAACACAGGGTGTCCCTGAAGTGCCGCAAGCAGCTGCGGGTGGAGGAGCTGGAGATGGTAATGCCTGGGAGCACAGCCTCTGGTCCCAGGAACCACAGGGCAGGGTTTATAGAGCTGGGTGAAGGGCGAGGGCAAATTGGAAGATTTTAGCGACAAGCGTGATGGTTAAGACTTAGAGCTGCGCCGTGCTAAAGTTTTACCAGAGAACAGCTTCTCATTTCCCTTTTTTTTTTTTTTTAACATGATTAAGTATTTTTTACCACACGTAACTGGAAGCCCAGCTGTAAGACAAGCTTTGAGCATGTGATGCCAATCATTGCATCAGTAATGTCCTCAAGGGTTAAGGTCTCCCTCTCCACTCTGCTGTCCTTGGGCACCAGTTTCACTGTTAAAGCTGGCTTCCCTCATGGCTCACGACGGCTGCCTACAACACCCGGCCACCTGCTCCAGTATTCATTTCCAGCAGGAAAACAGAACAAGAGAAAACTGACCCTGCATGAAACAGAGGCCCTCCTCTCCAATTGGATTGTGTAGTTTGAGATCTGTGCCCCGTCCCCCATCAGGGGAGGTACTCTCTGATGGGCTTACTGATGATCAGGGTGACATGGGTGTTGGGAAGGCGCCCACAGTGTACACTGTGAGAGGACACCTTCCACTTTATTTTTGAGGTGAGGCCCAAGCCATGTTAAGACAGCTAAAAATATGTATTAATTTTATGTTTTATATTTTGAATCATATTTATTTCACCTCAGTTCAGTTCAGTCGCTCAGTTGTGTCCGACTCTTTGAGACCCCATGGACTGCAACACACCAGGCCTCCCTGTCCATCACCAACTCCCAGAGCTTGTTTAAACTCATATCCTTCAAGTCGGTGATGCCATCCAACCATCTCATCCTCTGTTGTACCCTTCTCCTCCTGCCTTCAATCTTTCCCACCATCAGGGTCTTTTCCAGTGAGTCAGTTCTTTGCATCAGGTGGCCAAAAGTATTGGAGTTTCAGCTTCAGCATCAGTCCTTCTAGTGAATATTCAGGACTGATTATCTTTCAGGACTGATTTCCTTGAGGCTTGACTGGTTTGATCTCCTTGCAGTCCAGGGGACTCTAGAGTCTTCTTGAGAAGACTCAGTCTAAGCAAAAATTAGTAATGAACACCAGAGAGTACCAATATCCCCAAAGTTGCATGACCAAGTTTCCACATATAGAGGTAGTGATTCAGTGATAATTATGTTTTAAGTGGAACTGGCCTGCGCATCCTTTTATAATAGAAACTTTGGGTCCCTAGATGTGAACCTGGCTCTTTCAGTAAAATAACAAGAATAAAAGTAGAATCCTACTTCCATATAATGATTTTAGCTTTCAGAGTGGTTTCCACATCATACTACCTTATTTCGTCTCACAGCAGTCCTGTGAAGGGGTCAGAGTAGAATGGTAGCATTTCATTTTGCAAAGAAAGTCCAAGGCCTTGAAGCTAGATAGTGGCCAAGCTGAGATCCAGTCCTCCTCCTCCCATTATTGCAGTGGCCTCCGCTGCCGCTTAACTGAATAGCAGTTATGGCCACCAGACAAGGTCCAGTCAACAAGTGTGTAGAGCATTTATCTCACCAGCATAGAGTAAGCTCACTTTCCCATGCTGGCTCTCTCATACAGACAGAGGACATCCGCCTGGAACCAGATCTGTATGAAGCCTGCAAAGGTGACATCAAGAACCACTGTTCCACTGTGCAGTATGGAAATGCGCAGGTAACTTTTTGGTTTTTATTTTTGATGGTAAAAGTAGTATGAAGGTATCTTTTTAATAATTTTCTGCTGGTGGTATAGGTCCCATCCTGTCCAGCCTGATCATCCCTTAAGCCACACCAGGCTACTTTTCCCAAGCAGAGTACTTTTGCTCACCTTCATTCCTCTTTGCCACCAATTCATTCTCTTCCTTCTTTCTGGTTACCTTGTCCTCCCCCACCTTGCCTGCCTAGTAAACTCCCAGTGATCCTTCCAATGCCTCCTCCTGTCTATAGCTTTCCCAATACTCTGCACCTCCAAAATTAGTTATTCTCTCATTTCATCCCGTTGTACAGAAGTTCTTAACTGGAAGTCACATAAGAACCACCATGGGAGGTTTTTTTGTTTTTCCCTCTAAATCACAGAACAGAGCCCTAGCCAGAATCATCAGGAATGAGATGCAGTGAAGTGTTTTTGTTTTAATATTCTTCTGATGTTGGATCTACCTCTTCTAGTTCGTGGCATTGCCACAGTGCTTTAGCCTCAGAGATGATGGCTTCATTGTCTTCTAGTATCTGTGTGGGTGATGCAAAGACCAATGTCAGTCTGTTCTGTGTAGTTAATCTACCTCTGAGTTTTCTCTTTATCTTTAATGATCTGTAATTTCACTGTGCTATATTTAGATCTGGTTTTTGTTTTTATTATCCTTGTTGGCTCAGTCTCAGAATTCATGTCTTACTTCACTTAAAGGAAATTCTCAGACATTGTTCTTTCAAAAATTGCCTTTCTTATCCTTGCTTCTAGAACTCCTGTTAGACATTTGGAGCTGTCCTCCATGTCCGTTTTTCTTCCACGTTTTTCCTTCCTTGATCTCTCCATACTACACTTAGGTAGTTCTTCAGTTCTGTTTCCCAGATTCATAATTTATCATTTTAGGCTTTCTGTTCTGCTCTTCAGAGAGACCACCAGTTGGATTTTGTCATTTCTTTTCTTTTTTTCCTAATGTATGTATTTTAATAATAATATTTTAATAAAGAGCACTCACAGTTCCTTCTACCCATCCCTTTTGACATTATTCATTTTATAATGCATATGCCATGATCCCCCCAATACATTGTTACTAGGCTGTTATCAGTTAGATCAGCTAAAAATAAGAAAAATCATTTTATTTTTTTCCTTCATTTTTTTTTTTCTTCCTTTCTTAATGTAGATCCAAGGTTTTGACCTGTATGTTTTCCCTTCTTCCTAAAGAACTTCTTTTTTAACTTTTTTTTTTTTTGCAAGGTGCATATATGGGTAATGAGTTGCCTCAGTTTTTGCTTGTGTGAAAAAGTCTGTCTTCATTTTTTTTTCCCCCCGTCTTCATTTTTGAAGAACAGATTTGCTGGATATAGAATTCTAGGTTGGTGGATTTTTTTGTCTTACGGCACTTTATTTCACATCCGTACTCTTCTATGCATAGTTTTGCTTCTTGTTTTGTCTGGTTTCGGTTTTGTTTTTAAGCCGTGCCATGCACATAGCCTCTGGGACCTTAGTTTCTTGACCTGTAATTGAACCTGCGCCCCTGCATGGGTAGTGTGGAGTCGTAACCTCTGGCCCACTGAAGAAGTCCCTGCGTGGTTTCTGATGAGAGGTCCACTGTAAATCCTACATCTGCATGTTAGTTTTGTAGAGCTGCCCAACTTCCACAGACTGGGTGCCTTAAAACAAGTCTATTCTTTCACAGTTTTTGAGGCCTGATGCCTGAGTCCAGGTGTGGACAGACCTGCTGTCTCTGCCGAGGCCCCGGGCTGAAAGCTGTCTCTGCCGAGGCCCCGGGCTGAAAGCTGCCTCGCCTTGTCTGCCTGCTGGCGGCCCCAGTTCTTGACTTGGGCTGCGTGTCCTTGACTCGGAGCCTCTGCCGCCGTCCCTAACCCTCACCCTTCAGGGGTAAGGATTGGGTCTGGTTCACAGCTGGCATCTAACGCTCTATTCCCATATGATAAATGATGAGTTGAGCTGAACTTCCTGACTTGTGCCTACTGTCGAGTCAGTGTTATTGCTCCAGGGAAAGGCAGAGAGCCTGATGTATGCTCCAAAAGAAATCTTACAAGAAACAACCCTGGAAGGGAGAAGAAACCAGGAATCTTGCAGAGGGTTTCCTTCCCCACAGACTTCCAGTGCAGCCTGCTCGTCATCCATCATTTTTATACATTTAGTTTGCCTCTAGCCCTGAGGTTGTAGAGCTATAAATCTAATTCTCCTTTGTGAGGAAATCCTGATTCCTGTTACCTAGAAATGAAAAATGGAAGATGCCTGGATAGAAAAATGAGGGATGCACTAAGAACTGAATGCTTCAGTCAGGAAATGTGGATTATCAATCCCTGATCCACCTCTTAACTTGTCCATAATTCTTATGCCCTAGATTATTGAATGTCTGAAAGAAAACAAGAAGCAGCTGAGCCCTCGTTGCCACCAGAAAGTGTTTAAGCTGCAGGAGACAGAGATGATGGACCCAGAACTAGACTATACACTTATGAGAGTCTGCAAGCAGATGATAAAGGTAAGGGATCTAAAACCAGGGTTACAGTAACAATCGCACGAGCTTTTTTACATTTCAGAGTAAATGCACATAATCTTTCAGTGTCAACCTGTTTTATGTAGCTAAGGCCATGGTTCTCAAACTCTGGCCCCTAGACCTGCAGCACCAGCACCACCTGGGAATTTAGAGTCTCAGGCCCCACCCTGACCTCTTGGGTCAGTCTCTGCAAGTGGTGGCTTCTGTTTTCACAAGCACCCACGGGTTCCAAGGCAGCTCCAGTTTGAGAACCTCTAAGCCATGATGACTGACCTCACTTTGACCTGAGACACAAGAAAATAGAGGCCCACTGAATATATGATGAGTTTTGAGGCAGTTGGTGGAGATCTACTGAGAAAGTCACCATCAAATGTCCTGATCATCCGTCTACCACCATCAGCAGCTTTTTTGTTCTACAAGTTCTTTTGGTTCTTTTACGTCTCCAGTGAACATCCCCTGCAGCAGGGGTGAGGAGATGTCATTCCTGGATCTGTGCATGCGTACAAAGAGATGAAAGTGCTAACCCATTATTTCAACTTCCCTTTAAAATAAAGCGATACTTCTCACCCTGTCAAACAATTGAAAGAAAATTGTGAAAGTAAGAATTCTCTTTAGGTGGGTCTGGAAGAATTGAGCCCTCTGTAAAAATGGAAATGTCAGGCTGTGATTTGAGGGAGCTTTGTAAGATTTTTTTGATGCCTTTTTTAAAAATTAGTCAGCAACCCGCATCCCCATATTAAGACCAGTGGACCATGATTAACGGACTGTGGATTAGCAGATAGAGATGAGTTTATCACTAGTCAAAGTGAATCTCTGACTTCAAGGACACTAGCAAGTGTACAAGATCTGGCCCCACAGGACTTGGTAGGAGAATAGCCCCTGTAGTTAAAGGATGAACCAGAAAGGTCATTTCCCCACATCCCTGCTCACATTGTTTGGTGGGTCATTCCTGAGTCTCCCACTGGAGTTGGGTGGATACGGTTTGAGGGCCACATGGTCACCTAGCACAGTGTTACGTTCATGTGTCAGCAATATGTAAGCTTTTGAGATGCTATGTAATATAGCATAGCCATATAAGTAGGGAATCAGTCCTGTGCAAAATAAGAAACAGGAAGTAGAAAGAAATGTGAGAAGTACAGTAGAGAATAGATAAAAGGGATCTGGAGGCTCGGTGCTTATTCAGGCTTGCCGTTTCTCTTGTCCCAAGTGATACCTTTAGGTTCCGTCATGAGCTCCCTAGAAGATGTAAGAGTGATAAATATGGTGTCAACTGCCACATTTGGCAATTAACTACTTTTATAAAACTTTTTTTTTGGCAGAGATTCTGTCCAGAAGCAGATTCCAAAACTATGTTGCAGTGCTTGAAGCAAAATAAAAACAGTGAATTGATGGATCCCAAATGCAAACAGATGATTACCAAGCGCCAGATCACCCAGAACACAGGTGCCATCTTGCTTTCCTGGTCCCACTGGTAGAGCTGGGGAGGCGCTTGCCTAATCAAACTAAAGGGGCTTTGGTGCTTGTGACTGTTAAAGAGTCTGGATGTATAAGCAAAATGACTTCTTCCCTGAAGAGTATCCAGAGGAACACAGAGTCATGGGGAAGAGGAAGCTGAAAACACAGGAAACCTGCCTTTACAGGGCATCCAAAACGAGTTAGGGCTAGAGTTGTTTGAAAAAGTCTGGAGGTTGAATAAAACCTCATGCACGTGGCAGGAGAATACATGGGTGATCTGTTTCAGAACAGATAAATTTAATCTCAAAGTTGCAAGACCTTGTAACTTAATGGTCAAATTGAGTTGGATATTCTCTTCTCAGTGTTTTCCAATACATATATTATGGGGAAGGTTACTGATGTCTACATGATTTTTGTGAGGACTGCTTAGAATGTTGGTCTCAATAGACCCTGCAGAGCTGCTGGGGAGTAGGATTCTCCACATCTGCCCTTCCACCACGTTATGTTGAGGACTTAAAATAGCGTTGTGAGGGAGTTGCCTGGGTGGCCTAGTGATTAGGCTTCTCACTCTCACTCGTGTGGCCCAGGTTCAGTCCCTGGTCAGGGAACTAAGGTCCTCCAAGCCACCGAGAGATAAATAAAACAAATAAAAATAAATATATAATGAAATAGTGTAGTGAAGGAGCCCATTAAACATTTACTGGATAAAGAAGTTAATGGTTTATTGATGGTCATTGACATAATATGCCTGCCCCCTTTGGGTAAGTGGATCTCAAAACATTTGTGAATCCAGGTGGAATATTTTGTCATGTGCTTATTCCTTTCTTCTAGATTACCGCTTAAACCCTGTGCTAAGGAAAGCCTGCAAAGCCGACATCCCTAAATTCTGTCATGGAATCCTGACTAAGGCCAAGGATGATTCAGAGTTAGAAGGTCAAGTCATCTCTTGCCTCAAGCTGAGATATGCAGACCAGGTAAACTGCCCTGGGCTTTGCACAGAGGTGTACTTACAGGGCCTCCACTAGTTCCGACGGCATTTTCTTTGGAGGTCCTTAGCTTACTGCCACTTTGCCCAAGCCCTTTCTCACATCTTCCCCAAGCCAGGGCCCAAGTGGAAAGCTGACATGTTCTAACAGGCTGACATACTCTCCCTTGTCATGCATAGCGCCTCTCTTCAGACTGTGAAGACCAGATCCGGATTATCATCCAGGAGTCTGCTCTGGATTACCGACTCGACCCCCAGCTCCAGCTGCACTGCTCAGACGAGGTAGGGTTTGGGTTCAGAACCTGCTGTGAACAGAGCTGGTCAGGAAGGTTTTATTGGAGATAAAGAGTAAAGAACTTAACTCTTTCCCTTCAGCCCTGAATCCAGGATTCTTCTGGGCTCTCTGTTGTTTGAGCTCCTGGTTCTTTGTAACACTGAACTTGACTTGGCCTTAGTCCTCCCACTGTTCAATTTTGATTCCATATTTCTCTATGGAACATGAGGTTTATTATATCTGTCTATGTCTAATTTGGTCTTCCCTCTCCTTATTCTGGTGGTCAACCCAGAACACACCCATCACTTGCCAGAAAAATGGAATTGCTCCTGTAATAAATACCTCTAATGAAGGGCCTGTTCTTGGAAGTTGACTTCCTAGCTAGAAAAGGCCATGTTGAGAACCTTGTTCACCATACATCAGTTTTATGGATATGAGTTTTAAAGGTATTTCAAAGGAGCTTACTCATGAAGGTATCCCAAAGTAGGCTAAATTTTTAATCTGCGCTGCAGGCTTTGTGTCAGGACCCCTTCGTTTCTGTTTCCAAGTTATGCAGCCCGGTTTACCCTGAAGCTCTGTGAATGTCAAGCATTTGCTTTTAGGATTTTACTTGGCTACCTGACCTTCTTCTTGAGGAATCAGGCAGTAGTCTTTGTGACCAGTCCTGGGACAGTCTGACTCAGGCCTAGAGGGTGACAGCGTGAAGATGCGTGTGTGGACGGGTTTTTTCGGCTCTTTGCCAGTCCTTGTGAAGGAGAGCAGAGCCCGGCATGCCGTGTGGGGGGAGGGGGGTGAAAGCCACCGGGGACCCGTTTGAGAGGCGCCCGGGCACGGCTGTGGGAGGACCGTGAGTCTGATGATGCCGAGGCCCAGGAGCCCGGCGCGAGCTGGGCTGCCCTCTGCCCTGTGTGTGTCCCGCGCAGATCGCCAGTCTGTGTGCCGAAGAAGCAGCGGCCCAGGAGCAGACCGGCCAGGTGGAGGAGTGCCTCAAGGTCAACCTGCTCAAAATCAAGACAGAAGGCTGTAAAAAGGTATCGACTGTCAGTCTCCATTTTCTCTCCGCTTTCCTCTCCTCTTCCTCCTCTTCCTCTGAAAGCTGTAGACTGTGCATCTCGGTGGTAAAACCGAAACCTGCCTTCCAAGAATTCTGTCCATTCCTCTTACCAAACTCATTTGGCTTTTGACCCTTAATTGCCTATAACTTAAATATTCTTACACGCCTACTAATTAGTTGTGAATATGTCTCGTCTCCATGACTAGACCAATGTTTAAGTGCTATGCCGAAGTAAAATGTCAATTCCAATATACCAATAAGGGTACTACATTCATAAAAGTCAATGAAACTAAAAATTTAGTTCATTTCAGAAACATCACATAAAAAATTTTATCAAAATATGATAGTTAACATACATTGTCTTATGAAATTGATAAGCAAAATAATACATATTTGATCTTTTGTAAAAAGCTTTATCTCTTTTTGGAAAAGTGTTTCACTAATATTGTTGAATCAGTGTGAATATTGTGTGCAAATATTTTCAACTGCTAAAAATGTTTCTGATTCCACATGGTCTGAAGAATGGTAGGAGTTGCTTGAGTGCTAAATCAGTGTATTTTCATGCAAACACTTCTTCATCAAATGATTTCATTTAACTTCAGGGAGGACTTTTTGAGCAATACTTCTTTTTTTTTTTTTTTTGCTTTGCTTTTATTGGTGTTTTACAGTCTGTTGAGAGCAAACTACTTTTTACATAAGAAAGTATTTCTGGACTGTCTTATCTCCTGCAATTTCATCATTAATAACAGTGTCTGCAGAGTTGATTTTAGTTCTGTTTATATTTCTGTTGTGGGGAACATCTTTAAACTCATAAGAACTGTTCTCACAGTAGAAGTTAGGTGCTATCAATTCTTTTTTTCTTTTTGAGGGTAATGTAGATAAAGTGAGACATTTTACAAACGTGCTCTTCTGTTGGGGAATTTTAATATAGCTTATGACTCTGATTTTCAGTCTTCACATTTATAGAGTTCTATAAAAACAAGAACTGCTTTAAATCGGTGTAAACACCGGCAGTATTTAATAACATGGTACACCAGAATGCCAAACCCAGTTCTGATCTTAGTATTGCCCTGCTTTGCTCAGCCAACAGCTCTGCGTGCACTCGGCCCCCGAGTTATAGTCACTGAATTAAATTGGATGCCACCAGTCTCCGAGTAGCCTCTGTTGGCGTAACCTTCCCTCCTTGACTTTGTACATGAAGCACTTACGGACAGCAGATTAGCTGTGTGTCCTCTGTAAGTGCTTTCTGTGATCTCCCCTGCCTTAGGAAGTGTTAAACATGCTGAAGGAAAGCAAAGCAGACATCTTCGTGGACCCGGTTCTTCATACAGCCTGTGCCCTGGACATTAAACACCACTGTGCGGCCATCACCCCTGGCCGAGGGCGTCGTAAGTTGCTGTGTTCACTCTGGCCCTTTCTGAGCTGTCTTGGGAGGAGCATCAGTTACTGTTAGAGCGACTCTGTTCTGTAGCTGCAGCTGGGGCCTGGTTGATGCTCTGTGAAGAGTGAGTTTAGGAGTGATCCTGCAGGTATACAGTGATACAGCCCTGACTAAAGGTACAAATTCGACAAGAGAAAGTTGAGTTACTTACCAGGGAGGCAAAAGTTAAAGCGTCATCACGGCCCTCTTCCCTGCCTGGTCCAGCGAATGGCTCCGACAGCTGCCTCAGTGGCTCCGAGGTCCGGCCCTGTGTGAGGTGGAGCCTGGGCAAGGGTATGGCTGTTTCTGACCCACATGTGTCCTCTGAGAATCAAGAGGTTTTAAGAGAGAGTCCGGAGAGCCAATCTTAGACGTTCTTCTCCATGTGAGCTCTTAGGTTAGAAGTCCTTGAAGGGATTTCACTTTGGGTAGCCTCCAGATCTGAATTCCCTGGTGTTAGGGACCCTTCTCTCCAGCCTTACTGAAACCTCTGTTCCATACAACCTCAGACTTATCCTACCCCTTTCCTTGCACAGAAATGTCCTGCCTTATGGAGGCCCTGGAGGACAAGCGGGTGAGGTTACAACCAGAGTGCAAAAAACGTCTCAATGACCGGATTGAAATGTGGAGTTACGCAGCAAAGGTAATGAACCTTGAGAATCTCCTGAAAGGCCGTCTTCTCTGAGCTGCTTCACTGACGCCCTTGTGCTTCTCATGAGTCAGTGTGTTTGCAAACGTCTCCAGGTGCACCTGTGGCACTGCTGGGCTCTGTGGGCCTGGAGCCGTCATCTCCGGGCAGGGCCGCTGAGACACGCAGTGATCTCTTCCTTCCTCGTCGGTTTCTGCCTCCAAGACGCTGAGGATTGCTTCTCTGACCCCACTGCTTGCTTTCTGTTGGCATGTGTTGGTGCTCAGATCACTTCGATCTGAAGACCCTCGTGCCGCTCTCAGTACACAGATGGGTGCAGAAGGCGCCCAGACCTTTCTGGTCTGGACCGTCTTGGGCACCCAGGCTAAGCTGAGACCCAGCAGAACAGATCCTGGGGAACCGTTTGGCCCTGATTCTGCCAGAGCAGGCAGCCACGGAGGTCCACTGGAGAAAGCACTGAGCATGAATGCTGGTCAGACTCTCAGTGGCCACAACTGGGGGGTGGTTTGAGTATGTTCAGTCAGCATAAGTCATGTCTGCAGGGTGTTTTTGGTGGAGGGGATGCTGATGGTGAGTGGAAACAGGTCAAAACAGAGTTAGCGTCCACCACAACCTCAGCTTTCCTGTTTTTAAAAAGGCAGCAGCGTGCGAAGAAAACAAAATATTTAAGGACTGTGTCCTTGTGCAAATCAAATATGGCCCCTTGCCACCCCTTGGGCTGCTGGGTCTTCCCCTGTGATATGGGAGGCATGAAGTCCACACGCCCGGACTCATGTGAGGACTAAGTGATTGATGCGTGTTGAGCCCTTTGCCACATGTGGTTAGGTCCTCTGTGTGAGGCCTCTTACTACACGGGTGACAGTGGCCGCTCTGCCGACTTCTGAGAGTCCGCCTCTTTGCATTTGTCTGCGTTTTCTAATCTTGTGCAGCAGCCATATATAGCACTATGATCAGGAAAAACCATTTGTAGCTCTGTGTTTGATTGTCTTGCCTCTCACCTTCCTCTCCCCCCAAAAGAAGTGACCCAAGTTACGGCAGGAACCGAGGAGGTAGTTTTGAGTGAGCACCGCCCCAGCCCACATCTCCCTGAGGGCAGTGCCACCATCTGTTTTCCAGGTAGCCCCAGCGGATGGCTTCTCTGACCTCGCTATGCAAGTGATGACCTCCCCGTCCAAGAACTACATCCTGTCTGTGATCAGCGGGAGCATCTGCATATTGTTCCTGATCGGCCTGATGTGTGGACGCATCACCAAGCGCGTGACACGAGAGCTCAAGGACAGGTAGAGGTGCCTGGAGCCGCAGAGGAACTACCCGTCTGGCGCCCCGTTTGTACAGCCCTCCTGTATAGCGCACCCCCTCACCTCGCCCTCCTGCGCAGTGGCCCCAACACTCACGTTAGAGCAGCAGCAGGTGCCCCCCGCCTCGTCCGCCGCAGACTCCTCCCGCGCCCACGGTGTCCTCCTTCTCGACCACTCGTGCAGCAGCCGGCCGCTTTGGGGATCGCCTCTGTCGGCAGACTCGGGCTTCCCTGTCCAGAGACAAGTCTCTCATCCCGATGGACCTACCAGTACTTCCGGAACCAACTCACCTGACCTGCAACTCAGCTGAATTTTTTTTTTTTAAAAAAAAAAACACCAAAAAAGAAATTTTTAAAGAAAGAAAAAAAAAATGTATATAGTAACACATCTCCTCCAGGCTTGATTTGAGCGATGGGGCACTTTCTTCTGTGTGGCGGTGTACAAGGAAGGCAGGGCGCTAGAGGGGAGACACACCACCCAGCACGCAGTAACCGGGATGTCTGGCTGACCTCTCAGAAGCACCTTTGGCCCCATCAGGGCCATGGACTTCACCGAGTAGCGGGAAACGACTGACCAGCCCACTCTGGGTCTTGTTTTCTTCTGCTGAAACAGTGAGGCCTTCCGACTCCTACCCGAGCAGAGCCCCTGCGGGTCAGGACCCACAGCCTCGCGTCGCTCCGCCGTCTCCTCGCGTCAGTGGGCCCCCGAGGCTGAGGGCGGGTGGGTTGGAGCTCGTCTCGCGCACCCAGGGGTGTGAGCGGCTCGTCTGTCCGCTGCTCCGCAGCAGAGGCTGGGCCCTGGGGCCTGCCTTCCAGACCTGCGCGGGGCTCATCGGCATTTGGACTGACCCTGCTCAGGTGGCAGCGCGTCCCCAAGTCCTCGGCTGCCAGGGGACCCGTGACCCGGGGGAGGGGGTCAGGGCAGGAAGCAGGGTGGGGGCGGGATCGGCTCACTTTGGTTCATGTTTCAGGCAACAGTGCAGGCCAGAGACAGTGTCTTCTGAAGATGTAGCCTGGTATCAGAGAGGGGTGGCAGTCCCACCTGACTTTCGCACAGGCTCAGGGCCACCTTCCCAGACAAGCTCCTTCATGCCTCTTCATGCGGAGGACGTGGAGCATGATTCCAGTAAAAGATGGAGGCTTTTTCTCCGTTTCTCCTTTCTGTCCGTTGACTGCATACCCCCACGGTAGTAGGCATTGGCTAAATGTTGTACTCGGATGATTCATCAGTCTTTGCTGAGTCTGAGCTTTGTGGAAACAATATTCTTGAGCATCCCTCGGCCCTCCAGTGTAGAGATGACAGGCTTGGAGTATCAAAAGGGAGGCACGCCGGCATCACGGTTCAGCCTAGGGTACCTGAGCTTGAGTTTGGGGCACGGAATCCAGTGGCTGCACAAGAGGGCAGCGTGTACAGTAGGAGATATATTTATATAATATATATTTTATTAACCTGTTAGACGTCCACAAAGTATTATAAATCACGTGCCTAAAACTGTCCACATAGACCATGCACCCTGCCTGGCCCCGCCCCGCCCCACCACTGCCCACATGCGCTGTGGGCCCACCCCCTCTGTCTTCCCCGGATGTGTTGAGGGCAGATGGGCCAGCTGGTCCCGGTGACTCCTTGTCTCACCCTGACTGACAGATATTTGAATACTGTGGTTTGCTTCTTTCTTTCTCCTTTTTGCTACCTGTCCTAGAGGCAGTGGGTTCCAGACGCCAGCTGCAGACGCCCCCTGCCTAGGCACCACCAGTCACCAAGGGCGGTTCGAAGCTGCCGGGCCCCTCAGTCCTCTCTTAAGGTCTTCCTGATTCTCAGCAGCTGTCCTGCGGGTCTTCTGTCTCATCACTTGAACCTCTTGGAGTTGGAGCGCCCCCCTTCCTCCCACCCCTGTTGCACTGAACGGAGCTGCTCTGGATGGTGCACCTCCTGGGTCTCTTCCCGTGCTCTGGGCGGGTGCGGAGAGCGAGGGGCAGGGTGGTCACACGCACACAGGCCCCCCCTGACGTGTGTGACGTGCTTCACAGGATAGAAGGACTTCCCATCTGATGGGGGCTTCCATTCTCCATCTCTGCTGTCTCCCTCCCCACGTGTGTAAAACATCGCCACAGCTTACTGCGTCTTGATGCTTTTCTTCTTTCTGGACTGAGAGGATCTCAGCTGTCTGCAGCGGATTTGGAAGTGTGAAAAAGAGTTTGATTCTTGAAACGTTCGTCACCTTGAGAAATGATCTGGATAGATAGAAGGGATAACTACCGGTATCTGATCGCTTGTTGCCAGAAGGCATTTCACCATCCAACTTGGAGTAGTTTCCTATTACTGAGCAGTTTCATACATCCATCAGAAACCACGGCCCAGCTACATCCATTCTGTACCTCATTCGGTGTGACAGAAACAGGCTCTGAGCCACCTCTAGTCCCTGGCTTCATAGGTCACTCTTGGGTACATCAGCTAGGCAAGAACTGGGCAAGAAGAAACCATGGCCCTAGTCGGGGAGCTGACGGCCCTCATGCTCTCTCATCTCCTGATGTCTAGCCCATCCAGGAACAGTTACATCAGCAGTGGGTACGGTTTTGGGTCAAGGCCAAGGGTCCATGCCCTTGCTGCAGGGTACAGTAGCCAGGGCACTCATCAGGCCTTGTCCACTCACTATCTCCACAGCAGTCCAGATGGGCCGGGAGGTCAGTTCTCTGGACTGGCGGCCCTGCAGCGCAGGAAGTCAGAAATCCGAGCAGAATGCCCAGGAGGAGGCCGACTGCTCCCCCTCACGGAGCTGCTCACGCAGAAGGCGGCTGTGGGGTGAGGTCTCACCCTGCATGCCCCTGTCCTTCCTTCGCTGTTGCTGCTGTCCCAAGAGAAGTCTACTAGCAAGATGCTCTGAGGCAGGCTGGGTTCACTCCAGCAGGAAAGCCCCCCTCCTTAGTGTTCCCACACACTCTGGTACCACCTACAGGCCCAGTTCTGTGACCCCATCAGCTTGTTCTGAGCCAGTGCATCCTTAAGAGGCAAGGGAATTCTAGGATTGAGTCAGCAGGTGTAGACTGGTGTTCACTGCGGTCCTTGACTGTCTCACATCCTGCGCTCACTCTTCTCAGGGATGCTGGAGAAGGAGGGAGACTGCTTTCCTAGAAGGTGTGACAGGAAATTGCCATCAGATTTCATCTCTTGCCATTTCCTGAGGTCAGGTACCAAGAGGAACTCGTAGTGAAGAGTTGCAGCCTCCGTTTAAATTCCATCAGATGGTGCTGACTTTCCTCCCCCTTCCCAGGAGAAGATTCACTCCTGTATGCACCACCCCCAGGCTTGTGGGACCACTTCTGTCCCAAAGATCCCCACTGGTGTGAGTTACCCATGGAAGGATTGGTTGCTTTGTGGGACCTCCTTTCTCAGCTGGTCGTAAGTTCCTCTGAGGAAAAAAATCTCTGCTTTTCCCATTTCTTTCCCTCCCCCACCAAAAAGTAAGTTTTCTACACATATCACTTATTCCATGCAAGCACGTACAGGGAAGGAACCTGCAGTAGGGACCCTTAGAAGCCATCCAACATAGCCTGACTCATTCAAACTAAGTTTGGGCTGTAGAATAAAAAGAATAGGGTTTTTTGAATCATGTGCATTTTGGTGTGTTTACTTGTATTTCCAATTCTTAGGAATTTGAAAAATCTCAAAACTCCTTTTATTTATTCTCACCATTTGGACAGCACCTAAGCAGTTTTATAAAACACATAGTTCCGGTGCCCCGAGTTTCCCATGGGTCTGTGGGGACACACCACTCCTGAATCACCACTCCCCCACTGGTCTTCAGTTCCCAGAGGATCAGGGGCCGGAGCTGATGTTCTGATCAGTGGGTCTCTCTCTCTCATCTTTGCTTGGTTATCTCTCCTGCTAAACTCCCCTCGGTCCTCCTCTCCCCTAGGACCAGCGTCACATGTCAGGCAGAGCAGTCGAGTTCAAGGCCCAGTCCCCCTTCATGCCCAGACCTCAGACAAAAGATAAGTCATTAGCAAACCCAGTCTGACTCTTCAGAGTGATGGGCCCCTCCACGTCATCTAGTGAGATCACCGAGACCCAAGGGCTGTTGTTTCCCTGGAGCAAAGAGGTGGGACTGTCTGCTCGGGCTGGTGGGGACAGGATCCTGGCGGTGGTCTCCCCCGTCCTCCTTCCCGAGATCCGCCACAGCACACAGGGAGGGGTGTGGGCAGCCATGCGGCGGAGGAGTGCCCCTGGGCAAGGAGGGAATTCAGACAGTGCCTCTATATTCTGTTTTGCCTTCCCCCCAACACAGAGTTGACACCTGGACCCCAGAGCCCAGCAGGCCCTGTGCCACACACGCTTGATGGTTTGAACAGGTTCCCTGGTCAGAGGGAGTGACTGACAGGCGGGCTGGCAGCCCGAGGCTTACTGAACGTCCTCTCCCCACGCAGTGTTTCCGGGTCAATCCAGGCGGGAAGACAGACTGTCCAGCAAATGCTGTGTGAGATCTTAGGCCTTTAACTTTTTTTTTAAGAAAGAAGGAAAAAAAGAAAAGTAAAATTAACAAGCCTCTTTTGTAAATGGTTTTTCTTTCTATGTATAAAATCCTGGCAGTTCCTTGTTTTTACATGTTCATGCTGTGTAATTTTGAGATGTTACCGAGATTCTGAACATAATGTGCATTTTTTTTTCTGTACAGATGAAATGGGAGAATTTAATAAAGAGTTTGCAGGTTTTTACTTGTTAAATCTTCTCTGTGGTGACTGGGAGGACCCTCCTCAAACACCTGCTATGCTGGTAGAAGTCTCCAGAGTGGTGAGCGCTGGCTGTGAACTTGCCGCTGATGCTCAGAAACTTACTATTCGAACATCCCTGTCCTTGGTTACTTAGGTGAAGCAGAGTAGGACCATAGACCTTTCATAGGAGAGGTGGAAGCCAGATGTCGGGTTTTCTGACCCTCAGTCTAGTGTGTCCAGAATTACTCATTCTGCTGATGTGCTTAAGCCATGTCACGAGGCTTCTTCCTCAGGGAACACATGCCTGGACCTTCTTACAGATGCAGCACAGGATGGCACCTGGCGTCTGGTGGCTGCCTTCCCACTCAGACCCAGAGCTGGGCCCCGTTCGCTTCCCGGGCGCTGCTGTGTCCATGCTCAGGCAGTGCTCATCTCCCCATTCCAGTCCTGGGGTCAGTGACCTCACGGCACCCTTCCCACGTCTGGTCTTTACTTCCTGTGCTCTCAGCAACGATAATTTGTGTCTAGGTGTTAAAAACAAGTAACAGCTTAAAGAACTGCAGATAGCAAAGGTTTCTTGAAGTAGTGATGGCTGTACCAGAATTCGAGTAATGAAATGGGTCATTCAATTCCAAAGGTGGGGTAACCTGGAACCCAGGGTTTCTTCTCGGGACTCCTCAAGTCCATTTTCAGCAACTGTTGTTTAGGAGATAGTGGGCCTGAGTGTAGAGTGGAGGTGGGAGAGGGTGAAGAGTAGAAGCAAGGACAGAGGGGTTGCAGAGGCATTTTGAGCCCCAGCTGTGACTGGTGGCTCAGACGGTAAAGTGTCTGCCTACAGTTCAGGAAAGCTGGGTTCAATCCCTGGGTTGGGAAGATCCCCTGGAGAAGGAAATGGCAACCCACTCCAGTACTCTTGCCTGGAGAATCCCATGGATGGAGGAGCCTGGTAGGCCATAGTCCATGGGGTCGCAGAGTCGGACACAAAGTGGCTTCACTTCATTTGTGACTGTTCCTCTGTCCAGGGGGCTCTGGGCAGCCATCAGCCCTGAACAAGTGTCCTGGAGGGCCCCAGGCTTTGTGTGAGTGGGGGACTGAGCTGTGGTTTAGGCTCCTTGTCACGTATTCCTGCAGGGGAGAACCCCATGGACAGAGGAGCCTGACGGGCTATGATCCATGGGGTCACAAAGAGTTGGATGCGACTTAGCACATGCAGCACCCACATTTTTTGTGTGTGGTTTTTCGGGTAAAAGCTCCTTGGCCAACTTCAATGCTCAGAGGCATTTAGCTTCTGTTCTCAAAACGAGCTAAGAACAAAAGGGTCTTAGCCAGAAAGGGAAGCTTGGACCATCGAGCTCTCTCACCTGGATGAAAAAGTGAGGCACAGAGGTGGGGAGGCAACTTCTCAGACAGCTGATTAGCAGCAAAATGAGCACCCCTGCTGTGGGTTTTTTCTCTGACTAGGCACACAGGCTTTGGGACCTGTGTGACCAAGTAAGACCCCAGCCCTCATCCAGCTCTGGGCACAAGCCACTGGCCTGACCCCAAGAGTATGCCCAGCCCAACAGACCTCCAGTGGGGGCTTCTGACCTTGGTCCTTGTTCCCACCTCTGTTGCCCAAAACAACCTGCAGCTCAGCAGTGTCTTCTCAAACTACTTGTTAAATACAGAGAGAAAACAAGTTACAGTGGAGAAAATGCAGCCAAACCATGTGATCCACATTAACATCAAGGAGAATGGAACAGATGGACATTTCATGCCTCCTGACACAACGTCCTGAGAACACAGCATCCTTTCTGCAGTCTTGTCAAAAGTGCAGAGCCTGAATCTCTCGTGGTTAAACAATGGACAAACCCATACTAAGCCATGTTCTACAAGATTACTGCCCTTCACTCAGTCATGAAAGATAAAGACTAAGGAACTGTCCCAAATAAAAGGAGAGTAAGGAGAGACTTAATAACTAAGCACAGTGTGTAATCCTGGACCAGAAAAAACATTTACCCAACACACACTTTCTGAGAGAAGCTTTTTGGAGAATTGAGTCTCTAGGTTTTTAAGGCTGTCTCTCTACTATTGAGACCAGGGGCCCAGCAGCCGTTCTTATTTTGCAATAATTTGAAGCAGCCAATAAAGACACCTTGAACATGAAAAAAAAATATTTTCTGACCTTCATATTGTTTACACTAAGGCTGATGACTGACCTCTCATAAACGATGGAAATCGGAAGACAGTGAAAAGACTTATTTAAAGTCCTGGGGTCTTAAAAATTTCCATCGTAGAATTCTTTTTACCTAAGGAAAATAATCTTTAAAGTAAAGATGTTCTCAGATAAACAAAAGCTGAGAGAATTTATCGCTATGAGACTTGCACGAAAGGAATCCTACATGGAAGAATTAAGTGTTCCAAAAGGTAAATATGTACTTGAATATAAAGATTTAAATAAAGCTTATATTAATTAGATGAATTTTAAACAAAAATAAGTTTAAAAATTTCAAACTTAAAAATATATGAACGTTGTTTGTATGAAGCTATGGAAATGACTTTAAAATATCTGCCCTCCTCTTTCATAGATGAAGAAACTGGGTCTCAGAGCAGAATAACTTTCTCGCCCAGGATCACGCAGTCAGCCAGAGGCAGAGTTGGAGCTGGGATTAGAACCCGGGTCTGCCTTTCCCTGCACTGTCTGGTTTCTGAGTAAGCACCGAGTGTGGTCAGGCTGCCTCATGGGTGGGAGGAACTTCCTGAAATGGCCTTCATGGGGAGAAGCTGGCCCTCGCTCACGCCTTCTAGACTCCTGAAGCCGAGGTGTCTCCAGGGATCTGAGTGGGTGTTGGGGCGTCCTGACGCTCCCACTGGCAGGGCCCCACTTGTTGGGCAGCAGCTGTATCCAGGACTGAGCAGAGCAGGCCCCTTCAGAGGTTCAGAGCCCCACTCCCACTTCCACTAACTGATGGTCTCACTTGGGAAGTGGTCCCATGGCGGGGTAGGGCTTTGGCACCCCCGTCAGTTCAGTTCAGTTGCTCAGTCTTGTCCGACTCTTTGCAACCCCATGAACCACAGCACGCCAGGCCTCCCTGTCCATCACCAACTCCCAGAGTCCACCCAAACTCATGTGCATCTCGCTGGTGATACCATCCAACCATCTCATCCTCTGTCGTTCCCTTCTCCTCCTGCCCTCAATCTTTCCCAGCATCAGGGTCTTTTCCAGTGAGTCAGTTCTTCACATCAGGTGGCCAAAGTACTGGAGTTTCAGCTTCAACATTAGTCCTTCCAATGAATATTCAGGACTGATCTCCTTCAGGATGGACTGGTTGGATCTCCTTGCAGTCCAAGGGACTCTCAAGAGTCTTCTCCAACACCACAGTTCAAAAGCATCAATTCTTCAGCACTCAGCTTTCTTTATAGTCCAATTCTCACATCCGTACATGACCACTGGAAAAACCATAGCCTTGACTAGATGGACCTTTGTTGACAAAGTAATGTATCTGATTTTCAACATGCTGTCTAGATTGGTCATAACTTTCCTGCCAAGGAGTAGGCATCTTTTAATTTCATGGCTGCAATCACCATCTGCAGTGATTTTGGAGCCCAGAAAAATAAAGTCAGCCACTGTTTCCCCATCTATTTGCCATGAAGTGATGGGACCGGATGCCATGATCTTAGTTTTCTGAATGTTGAGCTTTAAGCCAACTTTTTCACTCTCTTTCACCTTCATCAAGAGGCTCTTTAGTTCTTCTTCACTTTCTGCCATAAGGGTGGTGTCATCCGCATATCTGAGGTTATTGATATTTCTCCCAGCAATCTTGATTCCAGCTTGCACTTCCTCCAGCCCAATGTTTCTCATGATGTACTCTGCATATAAGTTAAATAAGCAGGGTGATAATATACAGCCTTGACGTACTCCTTTTCCTATTTGGAACCAGTCTGTTGTTCCATGTCCAGTTCTAACTGTTGCTTCCCGACCTGCATACAGGTTTCTCAAGAGGCAGGTCAGGTGGTCTGGTATTCCCATCTCTTTCAGAATTTTCCACAGTTTCTTGTGACCCACACAGTCAAAGGTTTTGGCATAGTCAATAAAGCAGAAATAGATGTTTTTCTGGAACTCTCTTGCTTTTTCAATGATCCAGCTGATGTTGGCAATTTGATCTCTGGTTCCTCTGCCTTTTCTAAAACCAGCTTGAACATCTGGAAGTTCACTGTTCATGTATTGCTGAAGCCTGGGTTGGAGAGTTTTGAACATTACTTTGCCAGCGTGTGAGATGAGTACAATTGTGCAATAGTTTGAGCATTCTTAGGCATTGCCTTTCTTTGGGATTGGGATGAAAACTGACCTTTTCCAGTCCTGTGGCCACTGCTGAGTTTTCCAAATTTGCTGGCATGTTGAGTGCAGCACTTTCACAGCATCATCTTTTAGGATTTGAAATAGCTCAACTGGAATTCCATCACCTCCACTAGCTTTGTTCATAATGATGCTTCCTAAGGCTCACTTGACTTCACATTCCAGGATGTCTGGCTCTAGGTGAGTGATCATACCATCATGATTATCTGGGTCATGAATATCTTTTTTGTACAGTTCTTCTGTGTATTCTTGCCACCTCTTCTTAATATCTTCTGCTTCTATTAGGTTCCTACCATTTCTGTCCTTTATTGAGCCCCATCTTTGCATGAAATGTTCCCTTGGTATCTCTTAATTTTCTTGAAGAGATCTCTAGTCTTTCCCATTCACATAATTCCTATCAACTCCTGCCAAAACTTCTTCAAAGCCAGTTCTCAGATCCCCAGTTCTCACGATGCCCTCACTGATTACCATGCAGACCCTCCACACTCAGGAAGTCCTCAGATCCCCAATTCCCGCGATGCCCTCACTGATTACCATGCAGACCTTCCACACTCGGGAAGTCCTCAGATCCCCAGTTCCCGCGATGCCCTCACTGATTACCATGCAGACCTTCCACACTCGGGAAGTCCTCAGATCCCCAGCTCTCGATACCCTCACTGATTACCATGCAGACCTTCCACACTCAGGAAGTCCTCAGATCCCCAGCTCTCGATACCCTCACTGATTACTGTGCAGGCCTCCCGCACTCGGGAAGTCCTCAGATCCTCAGATGTCGATGCCCTCACTGATTACCATGCAGACCTTCCACACTCAAGTCCTCAGATCCCCAGCTCTCGATACCCTCACTGATTACCATGCAGACCTTCCACACTCAGGAAGTCCTCAGATCCCCAGCTCTCGATACCCTCACTGATTACTGTGCAGGCCTCCCGCACTCGGGAAGTCCTCAGATCCTCAGATGTCGATGCCCTCACTGATTACCATGCAGACCTTCCACACTCGGGAAGTCCTCAGATCCCCAGATCTCGATGCCCTCACTGATTACTGTGCAGGCCTCCTGCACTCGGGAAGTCCTCAGATCCTCAGATCTCGATGCCCTCACTGATTACTGTGCAGGCCTCCCGCACTCGGGAAGTCCTCAGATCTCGATGCCCTCACTGATTACTGTGCAGGCCTCCCGCACTCATGAAGTCCTCAGATCCCCAGATCTCGATGCCCTCACTGATTACTGTGCAGGCCTCCCGCACTCGGGAAGTCCTCAGATCTCGATGCCCTCACTGATTACTGTGCAGGCCTCCCGCACTCAGGAAGTCCTCAGATCCCCAGATCTCGATGCCCTCACTGATTACTGTGCAGGCCTCCCGCACTCGGGAAGTCCTCAGATCTCGATGCCCTCACTGATTACTGTGCAGGCCTCCCGCACTCAGGAAGTCCTCAGATCCCCAGATCTCGATGCCCTCACTGATTACTGTGCAGGCCTCCCGCACTCAGGAAGTCCTCAGATCCCCAGATCTCGATGCCCTCACTGATTACTGTGCAGGCCTCCCGCACTCGGCCAGTGGCTGCTGTCAGGGCTGCTTACTGACTGTGGCTATGCCACAGGTCCCTCCTTCTGACCCCTCAGAAATTCAGCCTGAATGTTCCAGGGAGCAGCTAAACTCTGGAAAAGTCCACGGCCGTGGGGCAGGGGAGGGCCAGTGTCATGGGGCCTGGCCCCACTGGTGTGCACGTGAGGAACGTGGGTGGGGAGGGCACTGGTACATGGAGTCAGCCAGGCCTGGGCTCCCGATTGCCTTTCTCCCTAAAGATCTTCCTGAGCACCAGCCCTCTGCAGGGAGTTAGAGGACAAGCAACAAATGAACGAATCAAAATCATTTCCTTTGAGCACTTCTGAAACACTCCTACTCCAGAGAAGGTGGACTGAGACGTAGAGCACTAGATTCATGTCAAACAAAAATCAGGGAACCAAAGGTTATCCTGTAAGAGAGTCTTGCAGCTCTCTCAGAGGGCCATGGTTTGTAGGCTCTGCAAGGACATCTCAGGCCCCTGCCCCACAGAAAACCATGCCTGGTGCCCGCAGAACACAGTCCACCTGCTCTCCGGGGGCAGAGACTGGCCTCTAGTGTTTTTTAAAACAGCTTCATTGAGATTTAACTCACATTCCCTTCAGTTCACTCTTTTAAGGTGTGAAGTTGGGATTCTTTACCCAAGAATCCACCTGCCAGTACAGGAGATTGCAGGTTCGATCCCTGGGTCAGGAAGGTCCCCTGGAGGATGGCATGGCAACCCACTCCAATATTCTTGCCTGGAGAATCCCATGGACAGAGGATCCTGGCAGGTTACAGTCCATGGGGTCACAAAGAGTCGGACATGACTGAAGTGACTGAGCATGCACGCATGCAAGGTATGTCAGTGGTGTTTAGCACATTCACAGAGTTGGGTAATCATCAACACAACCGATTTTGAGAACATTTTCATCACCCCCCAAAATAAATCCCATATCCAGCAGCAGTCACTGTGGTGCTAGACACTAGCAGTCTCTAGTGTCCTATCCCAGTCTCTTGCAGCTGTAAATCTACTTTCTGTCTTTATAGATCTGCCTGTTCTGGTCATTTGCCACAAATGGAATCATAGAATTTGCAGCCTTTATATCTGGCTTCTTTCACTTAGCTTAACGTCTTCAAAGTTCATCCATGTTGCAGCTTGAACCCACACTTCATTGCTTTTTTATTGTTGGATAGTATTCCATTGTACGGATATCCTGTATTTCATCTGCTGATCGGGATCTGTTGTTTCCACCTATTGACTATTCTTCATAATATTGCTAGGAACATTAACATGCAAGTTTTTGGCATCTATTTTTCAAAACATACTTACAGCAGCTCGGTTACCCAACAGGAGCTACTGCCCCAGTCGCTGTTCTTGTCAGGGAAAGTAGTAAATCCCAAAAGCACTAAAGGAACCTGCATCCAGAAGAAGCCTGACGCAAGGGGCCCCTCTTGTTGCTGCTTCTAAGCAGCGAAGAGAGAGCTGGGAAGTGGACTGCTCGTGGCTCAGAGTGGAGAGTTTTCTGTAGCTCTCACTCAGCTGTGGAGAAAAAGGAAAACTGTAATAGCAGTTTGTAGGTGGATCCCAGTGTCGGTTTGAACTTCAAAGAGCCTCCGTCAGTACCGTCTCCTAGTTGTACAGTCAAGATGTTGAAATGGCTGGGCCTCTCTTATCAGTTACTTCCTAGAGAGTATTCAGCTCTCCATCCTTGTATTCAGTGTGTTTCACTCAGCTCTAGTTGCACCTTTGAGGAAAGAAAACACGAGTCTCCTAACAAACAGATCGCTAAGTAGAAGCGGGCTGGCGGGCAGATGCCCTGGGGCTCAGAGGATGAGGAGGACTGGAGGACCTGCTGGGCACTGGTGAGCAGGCGGAGGGAGGTGAGAGAGCCTTCTGGGGGACGGGGTCTTCCTCAGAAGGCTGTGTGTGGCCACTCACCTCTTCCTGAAAAGAGACACGAGAAACAGCCAAGGAAAGAGTCTCCTCTACCTCTGACAGGAGGTCCTCAGGGTGGGGCTTCCCAGTGGAGGCAAACAGGTTTTGCTCAGTTAAACACCATCAACGGAACTGTGTGAGTGTCCCAACGTGTTCACAGGAGCGGCCGTGAGATGGTTCCATCACACTTGGAGGGGGAGGGAAGAGTTCCGAAAAGTGACTGATGGTAGGTGTGAACACCCAGCGCCCTGCAGGGAAAAAGCTGGAAATCACTGAAGCCAAGTTAGCCAAGATCACCGGAGGCCGGGGTGGAGCTGCTCCCAGGTCACCCATACCTGTGCAGCTCACTGGACGCAGACAAGCTCACTGGATTCCCAGGGCACCCCCTGAGCAAGCGAGTCTCCACCATGCCCACAGACTTCGTACTGAAGTCTTAAGGCACTCAAAGCGTCAGCCCCAGGGCCCCTAGGGACTCCCAGCAGCGCCCACCACAGGCATCAGGCTAATACACCTGGCACAGATCTCTGCTCTCAGACCGTGTGTCACCAGCCTCCGTGGTCATTTAGTTTGGCTCGTCACCCCACTCCCCACAGCCTGGACCCTCTGGTGCCAGGCGGTGCGGTTCACTTTGCAAGAGTAAAAGTATCTGTGGCACAAAACGTTTCACAGATTTTGGGCCAAGTAGTCTATACACATTGTTTGAGTCTGCAAAAGCAAACAAAAATGTGTCACTGCCCACTTTACAAGCAAGTAATTGAAGGCTGCGATGATTAATTTTATGTGTCAACCTGGCTAGAAGATGGTGACCAGATGTTTGATCAAGCATCAGTCCAGACATTGTTGTAAAGGTATTTTCTGGATGTGAATAAGTTTTATCAGTAGACTCTGAGTAAAGCAGATTACCCTCTGTACCTGGGTGGGCCTCATCCATTCAGTTGAAGACAGTCCCTATGGAGGAAGAAGCAGTTGGGTCTCCGCACTGCCTGGGAGCTGGAGGCCCCAACAGCAGCTGGTCCCTGGGTCTCCAGCCTGCCTGCCTGCCCTGCGCATTCCAGACCTGCCGGCACCCCTCTCCTGTGAGTACTTCAACATAAATCTCTCCCACTATGTACATGCACATCCTGTTGATTCTTTCTCTTTATATATAGTCTTTGTTGGTAACTCCCACAGAGGCCCAGGAGAGGTAACACCTCACAAGGTCATACGCCAAGGAGTGCTGGCATCCAGACCCAGGCCAGGTCAGCCCGAAGTTGTGCCCTTAACCAACTGGCACAGCCACTCTCTCAGCTCTGACTCTGAGGGGCTCAAGTCAGATGATACCTGGGATCCACCTGTCTGAGGGTCCCTGACTCTACAGAGCCTCTCTTGGTAAGAACAGCAGAGAGATGGTCCCACCCCTCTTTGGGAGGCAGCACCCCAAGAAGCCACTCCTCAGTCGCTCTTGTGTTCTAGGGACCATGCTGCGTTATCACCTCTCGGGGGAGATTTTATTAGTCTGACAGGTTTCTAATCTCCACTTAGTGCCCTCCATATAAGGGGCTGGCTAAACCCAGGAAACCTAATTTCGTAGGTCACAGCGCCACCTATGGTTTATATGAACAGAGCTTCTTTAAGAACCGGCTCAAGCCCTACATCATCCACAAAGCTTTACACAACTGCTACTTCTAGATACAAGGGAAGTTCCTGGAACTTCCAGGAACTGTCCTGATGTGTCTTTCAGCCTTCTTGATTCCAGTTCATTCTGACGATACGGCTTTAGATTCCCCAGGTGGTCCTAATGTACCACCACTGTCTCTACCACATTTCTTAGCACTGACTTGAATATTTACTACTTCATGTAAATATTACATGTGAGGCCTGGTTTTCATTATCTGCAACATGAGAATATGCTTTTATAGGCCTCATTTTCCTCACAGGTGCAGGAATTCAGCCATGCCCAACCTTTTGGGCACCAGGGGCCAGTTTCATGAAGATGGTTTTTTCACCAACTGGGGTAGGAGGGATGGTTTCTGGATGATTAAAGCACATCACAATGATTGTGCACTTTTATTTCTATTATTACATCAGCTCCAACTCAGATCATCAGGCTTTAGATCCCAGAGGTTGGGGACCCCTGCAACTCACAGAGTTGTGATGAAGTTTCAACAAGGTAAGGCAGTTAGGGCACTGGCGCAATGCCTGGCACAGGAGCCACCTGTAACGTGACTCTGTCCTACAGGGACTCTGTGAAATGGCAGGTGTTTAACTGTAAGACTGCAGCATGATTTATGGGTGGAGGTTGGTGTGCTGAAGGCATTGGCTGCTTTGCTCCGTCCCCACAGGTGTGAACTGGAATGCATGCAGAGCCCTGGTTTCCACGCAGACATGGGCTCACAAGTACGTGGTGGACACGCACAGTACCAGGTTCTTACCGAGGAGTCACTGAAGGCTAGATGTCAAGTCTAGTGACAGCAACAGTAGTCTCAGGGGGAGGAGTGGGGCTTCTCCCCAAGCCATGTGCCCACTGCATGGAGAGTGACTCTGTAGATGTTGTGTGTCTTCCTTATCTCAGTTACCAGATTCTCTTCTCCACTTTGAAAATAGGACAGTGGTTTTATAAGCAGCGTTTACTCCATTACCCAGAATGACGCCTGGCCACAAGAAGCCATCCATTAAACAAAATTGCCTTGTGTGGTGAGATGGGCTTGAATCCAAAGAATGGGAACTGGCGAGTGTGGCCCTCAACGCAGCTGAGCCTGTGCTGTTAGATCACTGTCCATTCAGACATTTTTCCTGGACTTTGTGCCAAACACAGTTCTAAGTGCCAAGAACATAGTCATGAATGAAATTTAGGTATCAAGTGCAAGGGTTCAGTTCAGTTCAGTCCCTCAGTCGTGTCCGACTCTTTGCAACCCCATGAACCGCAGCATGCCAGGCCTCCCTGTCCATCACCAACTCCTGGAGTTCACCCAAACCCATGTCCATCGAGTCAGTGATGCCATCCAACCATCTCATCTTCTGTCGTCCCCTTCTCCTCCTGCCCTCAATCTTTCCCAGCATCAGGGTC